CTGTCCAGGACAGGGAGGTTCCTCCTGAAGCCAAAATCCCAGATCTGAGCCCCAGGTGAGACATCCCTGAGGAGGGGAAATTTTCACGTCTCACTTCCAATTTCCCTGATGACTTTAGCCCAGTGAACAGGGGAAAGAGCACCAGAGGTAACAAATCCAACCCTTTCCAAACACAGTCACGTGATTGTCATCTGCCAAAAACATAAACCACAATCATAATCCTAAATTTGTCCTTTGAGCATACCTGTGCCTGCTCTCTAGTAGTTTCCTTCTAATCCCCAGGGATTAATCCTGAAGTGCATTGAAACATCTGAGGTGAAGGGCTACAGTGGAAATTCCTTGCAGGCTGGTAATAATAACTGAAAGCTGCTCTGTGAAGCAAACCTGAGGCTGACTTGGTTTTTAATGGACATCTGTCTGTAGGGGGAAAAAATGCCATGGCAACTGGCTTTCTTGTTGGCACGGCAGCCTCAGCAAAGGGCTGGGGAGAGGATGGGTAAGGGAGGGTCTGTGTGGCTCTGCTGGGAAACCTGGAGGTGCAGCCCAGCCAGGCTGGGAGGCAAAGGTTGTTTATGCTCGGTGAGCACCAGATCTTGAGGGATTTAACAGCTAAATCTTGGCATAACGATTGCTTTGTGTGCTGCTGCTGCTGCTGCTGCTTAGCAGGAGCCAGGCTGGGTTCCTCCCTCCTTTTCCTAAAAATGTGAAATCTAAAGGCAAAAAGCGCCTGGTTGGAGATTTCCAAATAAAAATACCTGGCGCTTTGGGGATTTGGTTGGAGATTTGGAAATCTCCAACCTAGCGCTTTGCTGGGCAGGGTTGGTGTCTCCCAGTTTGCAGCTCTGTCCCAAGGATCTCTGCAGAGCCATGGCTCCATCAGATGGATCCTGGAGCTTTGCTGGCTGAGGAGGGAAATGAAATGAACAGGGAAATGCCCTCGTTGTGTCCAAGGCCTGTGGAAGTTGAGACCAGGGGTCATTCATGGTGATAATGGGTGCACAAGCTCTGGCACTGCCGTGCCTCCCTCCAGGGCTCTGTGGACATCAGCACTCCCCTTCATCTCCTCTTGGTGCAGGAGAAGCAGCAGGAGATGCATGGCCCAGCAGGAACATCCATCACCCTGGCTGCACTCAGCTGCAGGGCTGAGAATTGGGAAGAAATGGCAACAAAACTGCAAGTGCAGGTCAAAAACTGCACCTGATGGGAGCTGCTCTCTGCTCAGAGCTGAGCTGGGAATTTGGGAGCTGCAGGAAGATCAGGGCGGGGGGAAAGGCAGAGGTGGCAGCAGCAGTCCCACGTGGCTGGTTTGGAATTTGGGGTTTGGTTTTGCTGCGGTACCGATTCTGGTCTGGCCAGGGGTGTGTCCTGTCAGAACTGAGGGCAGCTTTGCTGACGAGCTACATCGTATCTCTCTGGGAAGCGCTGCTATGTGTCAGCACCTGATTTGTTCTCTTAATTTCCTTCCAAGCGTTCGGAGAGCCCCGTGCTCACAGCACTGCCCACAAAGCTTCACCCTCAGAGAGGAGGGGTGGGGATGATGGCACTCAACAACTGAAATCTTCAGGGAAGAGAAAACTCGTGTGTGAAAAAGCTCAGTTCTCTGAGCTTCTCCAGCAGCTGCTTTTGCTCAGAGCAAAGCCCCGTGCCTGTGCTGCTGTCCCTGTGCAGCCAGGCGTGTTTTGTCTTGCAGGATGCTGTTGAGGATCACCCCGGGTAGCTCAGGGAAGGCAGCACAAGACCAACAGCAGGTTAGATCAAGGAAATGTTACATCACACGGCACTTCCTGCTAAGTGCTGCTATTATCAGCCTCATTCATCTCCACATGCAAATGCAGCCGGCACATGTAGTCACACATCTGGAGGGAAACAGCAGTCCTGGAAAGGAACAGCTCTAACCTGGATCCCACAGGAGAGGCAGAAGGGAACACGATTCTCCATTAGGAATGGTTTCCTTTCTTTCTTATCTGAATCCTGAATTTTTCTCCAGCTAAACCAGCACATCCACTGTTGGCTGCTCTTTGTCACATCATTGACATCCAAAGTGTCAGCTGTAAATGGTGGGGAAGAGCAAACAAAAGGGTGAGAAACTGATAAAACCAAGCCATAAAATAATAAATGTTGGGAATGGTGGGCTATTAAGAAAATCATATTTAGGAGAAAATAAAGGGAATGATGTGCCCTAACAGCAGCAGAACCCCATTACACTGGGAATTTGGGGAGGTCACTGCACACACAGGAAGAGCAGTGTCCCTGGAGAAGCTGGCTGCCACTGCAAACCACCCTGCAGCCTCTCTGGTGGTCACTGCTGAGCTATTTTAAATGATCACTTCTATATTTACTTTGAACCTGCTTTTTTATAAGGATGCTCAACAAAGAAAAAAGGGAGGGCAAAACGAAAGCCAAACAGAGCTTAAGAAAACAAAGAATACATTGAAGGGGAAAACAAGTCAAACTGCAACTGCTCTTGAGTCATTCCTGAGATGTGAACACCAGCCTATTCATACCCTGCTTTCTAGCCTGTAATGTCACCCTAAAATGTGCTTTACTGTGCTCACGTCATGTCTTAGAGGCTGTCTCTGCCTGTGGAACTTGGTTCTGTGTTTTTTGACATTTCTGACTATCAAGGGCTCTGTCTTTGCCCCACAGCCCCTTCAAACTGCTGCAGGTGCTTTTGTGGTTCTTAACCTTCAGGCACAGAAATAGTCACCAACTGCTGTGAGCTGTGAGCATTCCAGGCTGGAAAAGCACTGAAGTGCTGTCCTCTAAAAACCCCACACTAAGTGACCTGGATGGGTTCTACTCACTCTCTTATCTGACTTCCTTGTGCTTTTTATTAACAACTTCCTTTACAGAGTTGCTCAAGGTTCAACCCAAAGCTGTGCAACGTAGAAACAACACCCTAAAGAGATTGGTTCATGGAATTATGGAATATCCTGAGTTGGAAGGGACCTATAAGGATTTTCCAGTTGAAGTCTGGTCCTGCACAGACCCTTCAATACTTTTGTAGCCTCTTTTGGGCTCTATATATTTCTTATATTTTTATATATTCCTACATACTACTACAACTATTATTATTATTACTACTGCTGCATTGTTATTTATTATCTTATATTGGTTAAGTGCTTTTTCATGCTAGTGGTTTTTACACAAATATATAGAAAGGATTTTTCTTAGCCGCTCTTAGGGATGTATTTATCCCATCCCATACAGTGAACCAGATCCCTGCTCTTACACAAAATGCTCCCAAAATTGGTGCCAGGGGTAACCTTTGGCTTTGCAGGTGCTGATGTCTCCCACAGAAACTCTTGGGCTCCAGAAATCCTCCGTGTCCTTCTCACTCGGTTCTGTGGCTGTGAAATAGTGAAGCATCTCATGAGTTCAATGAAAGGATTAAAAAATGAAATTTCTTTAAATCACCATCTCTGTTAAGAGTATTTTCAATGGGAGAATTCTTTATGCTGAGTCCATTTTGGGTAGGATCTGTCATCTAGCTCATAAAGTGTTAACCACTAGGTTACTTGGGCCTGTGAGGTAAAACAAAACAATCAGTTTAAAAGGTAAAATGTAAGGAAAATGCTAATTTAAGAAAGCTGTTCAATATTTTATCTTTTTACCATTGTGTGCTGCCACCCACAACTCTTCCAACTGCATGGGAAAGCTGTTGCTTTAGGAGCAAGGTGTATAAATAATGCCTGCCTAAGAGCACGGCTCCTTTTTATTCCATTGGAATCCTGTGGGATTTCTAGAGCATTTCTATGAATAGATTAAACTCTGAGCATTTCGAGTAACCATGGCTATAAATCAATTTAGCTCTTGGTTTTCAAGTTGCATCTGCTCTTACTAATCCTGTATGTGCCTTTTTTTTTTTTTTTTTTTTTTTTTTAATAGGACATACCAGGCTTTATTTCTGTGTATGGGTTTTGGTTTGGTGAAATTCCCACTCTGCACCAAGCAGGTTCCACACACAACCACTGCACCCTGGGTTTCTGCAGGGAGCCTGCTGATGGTGGACAGGCAACACGGAGTGAGGGGAGAACTGGCATCTTGAGCTTAAATATTTTACCCATCGGCACAACGCACATTTAAATTGCTTTACTACGAGGGGAAGCCCTGACTGCTCCGAAATCTGTAAGATGGAGGGGCACTGCAGGGAAAGCAGCCATCCTCCGGCCCCATCTTGCTTTCCCCCAGGAGCAGGGATGTGTTTGGCAGCGATGGCTCGGGCTCTCTGCGGATCGGGGCCTGGCGTCCTCCACCGGCCTTTCGCAGCCGGCCGGGGCTCGGCCATTTTTCCTCCACTTCGTTGTCTCTTGACGCTTGGTTTCTTTTGAACGATGCGCTGCGGCCCGAGCCCGCCGCCCTCCCACTGCCGCTCGCTGGGGCCCGGGGAGGGGCGAGCGCGGCCGGGCCCCACCAGGCCGCGGCCTGCGGGGAGCGCAGCGCGGGGAGCGGAGCCCGCGGAGGCCGTGCGGGGCCGGCCCGCCCGGTGTCACCAGCGGGCTCGGAGGGGGCTGAGCTGGGCTCGGGGACTCTCCTGACCCTGCCGGGGCCTCACGGCCGGGCCGGGCGGGCGCTGCCGCCGTCCCGCGCCGCCGCCGCCTCACGTGTCCCCCCTCCCTCCCCGCCCCTTCACCCGCCGCAGCACCGCCGCCGCGCCCTCCGACTTCCCGTAAAGAGTCCGCGCCGCCGCCCGCCCCGCGCCCGCCGCCACAGCCCCGCCGCCCCCCGCCGGCCCCGCGGGGGTGCCCCGAGCCCGCGGGTGTAGCCGCCGCTCCCCCCGGCCCCGGCGCTACCCTTGCCCCGCGGCGCGGCCCGGCCGCCGCCCGCCCCCCCCCCCCCCCCCCCCCGCGGATCCCTCCGCGCCGCGCTCCGCTCCCTCCGCCCCGCTCGCACTGTTTGGGAGCAACCGGCCGAGCCAGCGGCGCCCCGGCCCCGCCAGCGCAGCGCGGACCGGCCGAGCGCACCCAGCCCGGCGCGACCCCCGGCGCTCTCCCTCCCTCCTCGCCATGTCCCTCAAGCAAGCGGCGGCGGCGGCGCAGCCCGCCGGCAACAACCGCAAGCCCCCCGGCGGCGGCGGCCCCGGCCTCCCGTCAGCCGCGGGGAGGCAGAACATGGGCAGGTGGGTGCGCAGTGCCGCGGGACCGGCCCCGGCTCCGGCCCCGGGCCCGGCGCGGGCGCCGCTCGCCCGCCCCCGCCGCCCCCCTCCCCCCCGCCCTCGCCCCGCACCGGCCTCCATGGGCGGCGGCGGCGGCGGCGGCCGGGGAGGGGGGGCGCGGGGCCCGCAGCATGGCGGGGCCGGGGCGGGGGCCGCGATGGCGGCGGGCGCGGCGCTCGCGGCCCCGCCGAGGGGGTTCCGCAGTGCCGGGGCGAGGCCGGGCCGCGGCCGGTGCCCTTCAGGCGCGGGGAGGGCACGGCGCGGAGGCTCCATTTCGGCCCCCCGCGGGGCCCGGGGCGGGGGGCGCCGCTTCCCCCGGGCCGACGTGACCCGCCTGCTGAGGAGGGAGCGGGGGGAGCGGGGGGCGCGGGCCGCACGTGTCGGGGCCGGCGCGGGAAGGGCCGCGAGCGATGGCGGCGGGGCCGGGGGGCGGCCCGGGCGGGGAAGGGGGCGGCGATCCGGTCCCGCGATGGCGGCGCAGCGCCCTCGGCTCACCCGGGGTGGAGGGTGGTGGGGGGGTGGGTGATGAATTTTAGATTTTTAAATTTATTTTAATATTTAGGGATCGTTGTTATTTGTAATATTTTTAAGTTGGTTTTTTTTTTTTAGTATTTTTATTTGATTTTTTTTTTTTTTTTAATAATGGAAATCGCAATAAAATTCTCGCGGGAAGGCGGGCCGCGCCGCGCCGCTGGATGGTGGCTCCGAGCGCGGCCTCGCTTTTTCCCGGATTTTTGGGGCAGGAATCTTGCAGAGGCTGAGCCCTCTCCTCGCCTCCCCCCCTCTCCCCGCCCCACGCTCGCTGCCTCTGGAAGATTGATCCCGCTCCTGCTCTCAGATCATTAGCTACGCAAATCCACTCACATTTTCCCCCTTTCTTTCCCTCAAATAATAAACTCTATAGTGCTGTGGATTTTTCCGGGGCTGCGGGGGTCATAACAAACGATCAGAGCAGGACGTTAACAGTTCTGAAGGTCACAGTCACTCAGAGCAGTTTCATTTCGAGTTTTATTCATCTTCCTCTTCAACTGGACGTTTATTCCCACTCGGTTTTGTGCACTGGCAATAAAACAGAATTTACAGTGGCCCCATTGTTGGACATCACTGGAAATAGGGTTTTACTTTGTTCCCAGCCAGTGGAACTGGAAGCGGAAGAGCTTTGGAATGGTATGAAAAGGACAAAATAAATAACAACAACAACAATACCTCAGCAGCTCAGAGCACCCATTTAATAGTTTTTACATATGGCATTAGGTGGGATGTGATGTTTATTGGACTCTGTCCCTGCCAACACACAGTGGCACTGTAGAGGTTAATGTGAAGGGCAACAAAACCTCCAGCTTATTTTCTGAAATTCAGCCTGATGGCAACCACTTGCCCCCATAGATTTGGGCACGTGGGCTTCAAATTCTCTCCCAAGTTTAAGATTAAAGCCACTGGATTTCTCCAACCAGTGTTGCCTTTCTGGTTCCATTGGATAAATTCCATTTCAGAACTCCTTAGGGAGTTCTGATGGGGCTGCTGAACAACTGATGAACCCTCAGAGGTGTTGATGCTCTTTCTTTCTTAATTTTTCAAGTTATTTCTGAATGGAGGGTGTGTAAAATCACACTGCTGGAGCCCCATGGAGCACCTTCAGAGAACTTCCCCTACACCTGTCCTTGGTCTTTTGGGGAGTGCAAATTCAAAGATGGTTCATGCTGTAAATCTGGCCGCGTCAATGATAAGCTGAATGGCTTTTCTGTTCAGAAAAATGAAAATTTAAGTGGCCTGCATCTTGGTATCAATATTCTTGAATAAAAACTTAACATCTCCAGTGTACGTCAAGCTTTCTGCCCAACAACTCGTTTCCTGCAGCACTAACATTCCCGTGCAGAAAAAAAAGAATTACTTTTCATGGCTAAGTTGCTTTTGAAAGCTTAGTTTGGGCAGAAAACTCATTGATAATTAACTGTCCTAGGCCTATTTTTGTGTGTTACTGGAAGAATTGGGCTGAGCACTTGTCCTTGTACCTCTGCTCATGAGGGGAGGGTCAGCTCTGCCCTCCGTGGCTTCACACTGCTGCACATCTGTATTTCAGACCAGAAAAGGTAAAATCCTGTGTGAACAACCAGTGTTCTTTACCACCCTATTAATTGCTTTTAGACAAAGGGAAAAATCAGAAATGAAGGCATCCTTGAAGGTGTTTGAGACAAAAAAGAAGGATTAATACCTTTATGATAAAGAGGCCCCAAGTGAGATGCTGTGTTTGTTTAATGTGCACTATGGCAGATGGGCTTGGGCTGCAGGGGAGATGCCAATAGCACAGCAAGCTGTAATTAGGGAAAATGTAGACTTGGTTCCCAAACTTGCTCCCTGTGTTATCAGAACATTATCTAACATCCACTTTCTGTGTTGGAGTGGAGTTTTGCTGTTATGCAAGCACAGGAGGGTTTGCTGTCCTCTGGCTGCAAGTTGCATCTATCCCAGCCTTCCTCAATCTCCATCCTTTTTTTTCTTCATTTTTCCCCATTGTTATTTTATCTGAAGGCAAAACACCTTAGGGTCAGGGTTTGGATGTTTCTTGTCTTGTTACAATTGTGGCAGAAGGGATTTTTCATTTTGGTAACTTGCTTGCCTAACTGGGCTTGGGGGTCCTGTAAGAATACACGGAGTTACTGCCCTTTAAAAATGGCTTTTTCTCATCAAAAACCTAAAACTGAAACCACCCCATGGTTCAGTTTTTTAAGAAAATGACACAAACTTCTTGCCTCCATTTATTTTCCTTTTTCCTTGATATCCCTTTCTTGAGAGCATGGTGCCCATCCTGTTCAGAGGGAAGGGAAGGGGAACGTTGAGTTTCAAGGAGCTGGAATTTCAGGGCAGTGCCAGCCCCAGGTTTTTGAGTTGCTTCTGACACCTTTGTGTGGGTTTTAGTGCAAATGTGCTAAACTGCTGAGCAGAATGACTGCTTAACCTGCAGGCCTCTTTCCTTATCACTGTGAGAGCACTTTAGGGTGGTTTTACATCCCTGGTTTTGAGTAACTTTTAATTTAACAACTGATTCATGGCCATGTCTGTGAAGGTTCTCCCGTGACTAAGCCCATCAAGAGGTTCCAGGTGTGCACTGGGCCAGACCTGAGTCAGGTTGTTCAATATCCAGATGCTGTAGGAGCTGTCACCCTGTGTGGAGACAGGAATTGACATTATTGATGTCAATATTGGGGGAAAAAACTACAGAAAATAAAACTGCAGGACTTCTTGCATAATCTTCACTTGACATCTTCAATTCATTTGACTTGATAGAGCCAAACACTGCAATGAAATAAAACCTTGCATTTCAGATTTCTCCCTTAGAAGAAAAGCTTTGCCAGCTCTCTGCACTAAAGTTCTTTAGAGTACCCTGTAAATTTGCTTTCCAAGCTGCAGCAGTGTCAGTCAGTGCTCCAGAAACATCCATTCACACTTTAAATTCAACTCTTTGTAGCTACATTTCTGCTCCAGACATTAATTGCAGCGTGGCTGCATTTATTTCTTCGTTTCAAAGTGAAGATGCTGCTGGAAAGAAAACTGGAGACTTTCTTTCCCATCCAGGAGTGACTTTGTTTCCCTTGCATTAACTGGGAAAATACAAATGCGTGACCTTGTTTTGCTTATCCAAACACTCCACTTGGCATGTAAACACTAAGGAGGGAGGTGAGGGATGCTGAGGAAATACTCATAAAAATAGAAAAAAATGTGCAAGTTGCTGCTGGGAAAAAAAAAAACATTTATAGTGCAGCTTTTGGGCCCTGATGGAGACTTTGCTTCTTGGGGTGGAACCGCTGGAGCCAAGGGGTTGGCACTGAGTTTAATTGCTCAGTTGTTACTTTGTCCTGAGTTTGTGACTTTGCTACCCCAAAGCAAAGGGTTTCCAGCTTGCCAGGCTGTCCTGCCTTCCCCCAGGTTTACCTTTAACCATGTATCTGCAATGCAAAATGAATTATTTTCTAAATTTTGCCATATTTACCCTAATAAAAATGGGGTTTTAGGTAGCAGTGCTAAATTGCTACTGAGCCTTCTTAGATTCCCCCACCTCCATTTCTTTGTGTTACTCTCCTGTTCCAAATGATGTTCAACATCTGGCAAAACCCATCTACCTTCTCCTTTTGTAAAGGTCCTGAGGGGTTTTTTTCATATGTTGCATCAAAGATGTGTCAAATGATACTTTGAACTTGATTCTTCACCTGTTGGAATATGAAACTCAAGTTGGTGGCCTTGGTTTTAGTAGAAGATACAGTTTTGGCTAAATTGTTGCATTGGTAGGATTGGTAAATACATTTCTTTTCTCATCTTGGTGAATGTGTTGGTTTTTTTTTTTCCTCTCAATGGTTTGTGATTAACAGTTGTAGCTGGAAAATAAGAGTTCAGATCTATAAAGAGACCTGATAGATCAGAGAATTTCTGCTTTAATTTTTGGCTGATGTAGAGGCTGGGACTTCTTGCTGATGTGGATGTGCACAATCAGTTGTTTCTTGAAGAAGTGTGGGTAGGAACAGTAATTTTGGAAATGCAGTAAGAGATGGAAAATCTGGAATACTCTGGTTGATGCTTAGAGGGAGTACTCCAAACTTTCAACCCAGTTATTTTCAGGTCTAAGAATATTTTGTCACTAAAAATGGGAGTGGTTTCTCTTGCAAAGACACGAAACTCTTTCACTTTTGATCTATAGCTGATATAGGAAAAGGAGGAACTTCTAAAATCTGTGAGGGCAGCAGATGGAACTGGTAAAATTGTTTGAATTTGGCCAAGTTCTGGGTGACCATGGTGATCAGATTTTTGATTGTAGTAGAAGGACAAATCAAACTGGGCTGTGGGGATTCCACATGTGGTGAAATGACTTTCAGATAGAGAAGGGTCTGAATATTATGCAAAAAATGCTTTTCCATGCTCACAATGCTTCAGTTCTCTCAGAGGCCATTTAACAAATGTCGGATTTGGTAAATGGTGAGATTTGCTCCAGAGCAAGCCTGACATTGTGAGGCTGCCCTATGGAAAGTTAAGGTAGTTAAATAAAGGTTATTTGCATTAGAGCTTTTTTTTGGGTGAGATTAGCTCTCTGCAATATCCTGAAAATGCCTGCTGGGCACCCCAAATCTGCAGTTCTGCCATCAGCCAATGCCCTCAGCATGTGTGATGCTCTGAGCCCACAGTTCTGATGCAGAAGCTTGTTGGAAATGAGTCAGGTGATAGTTTAGTGGTTTTTCATTTTTTCCTCATTAAGGCCTTTCATGGCTCTCTGATGGCTTTGCTTATTTCAGCAGAATTTATTGAAGGGTTATTTATGCTCACTGAGAGAAGTTCCTTTGATTTTTTGACTACCCTGTGAGCTCTCTTTTATAAGGGCCTGTTATTCTGGGGGGTAGGGTGTATTCAGCCCCAGCTTGGTGTTTTTAAAAGCATTTCAATGCAGTTGGCATCTAATGAAGGTGTTCAGGAGCTCTGAGCAGCCTGCTCTAGAGGAAGGTGTCCCTGCCCATGGAATGAAAATGGATCTTCAAGGTCCTTTCCAACCATTCCATGATTCTCTGACATCCAGCTGGATTTAGATTTCAGTGTTGTTTAGATAATACCAGGCATGATTCTTCAGGTGTCTTTATTGAAATGCTTGTGTGTCAGTAAGGTGAGTCTATTTAAAAAATTGAGTTTTTTTAATAGAACAGAAGATTTATTTTTGCCTCACATTCCAGTGAGTGCTCCTGAAGTCATAACACAAATCTAAATCACTACAAGGAGTATTTGAAACTAGGACTGCTTGGTACAAGGGAGGAGCTTGGAATTAAGGCACACCAGTGGAGTTGAAGAATTGGAGCTGTTGGGGACTTTTTTAGCTGCAGGGATGGTTTGGGGCTCAGGTCCTGGGGTGGAGGGCACAGACTGAGCCTTGTCAGGGTGTTCTGAGCATCCCCAGGTGTCCTGAGTGCCACACACTGACAGATTGGCACTAGGAGGAGCTGGTATTTCTGGGGGGATGGACAGAATTAGTTAGAAATGAGCTCTGTAGGTGGAACCTCACAGTCAGGGCAGGGTCAGTTGTTTGGGTGGCCCAAATCTGACACATTTGGACAACATTTGGAGCCTCCTGGCTCAAGGAAGGGACCCTGTGCTGTGTAGGGCTTGAGCCTGATCTTGCCTTTTTGTGCCATTTTGGAATTTACTCTTATTCTTCCTCTGATTTTATAAATTTAGTATTTTCTTCATTTTATCCTTTAATTTATGACAGGTACCCCCCTGCCCGCTGACAGGTCAGCAGCTTGGAGATAAACCCAGTGGGTCCTTGTCAGGCTCTGCTCTCTGGGAATCCTGCTTTTCCCAAACCCATTCTCAGCCCTAAATTGGGGTGGGTTTGGGGTTCTTGCTGGGTAGGAAATGGAGCAGTTCCAGCAGCCTTTTAATCCCCTGCCATGTGTGTGTGTTTCATTGCAGAGGCCGCAGCAGTGGCAAAGGACCCCCTCAGCCCACGGTGAGTTTGTGCTTTCTGCTCTTTGTGCCACTGCAGGGTTGGGGAAACAACTTAGCAGAATGGCAGATACTGGAATATTCTCTCCATTTTTGCCTTGGTGGGTGGATACTTTAGAGTGAAATACAATTTTTTTAAAGAGTAGCATCTCACATTCATTTAAATCTCCTGGGAGGGTGAAGGGGGGAAGGTTCACTTAAACTTTTGACTGCACTAATATAAATATTCTGCATTTTCTTGCAATTACAGCTGTAAATATAAATAACATTTAACTTAAGGCAGTGCTTTTTGAATTAGTTCCTATCTGAAAATTCTAACATTGGCTTTTCCCTTAAACAGATGACAGTAAGGCAGCATTTAATGAAATAAAAATAACTACTTTGTTTAGCTTTACTATAAAATTGCTGAGCCATTGTTCTCAGTAGCTCCAGTGTGCAGCTTTAGTTGTGCATTACTGGAGCATAGATGTGACTTGACTTGCAGAACATCATTTTATCAGAGCTAAATTCATGGATCTTGATTGAAAGAGTGAATCTTTGAACTTCACTAATCAAATATTTGCCAATTTGTTACTGGCCTGGTTTTCAAAGATGCCTAATTTTGGAGAATGGAGCAGAAGCAGGAAGATTTAAAAGGACTGCAGTTTGCTTACATAAATGTTTATTGAAGATACCAGGACACTTGAGAAAAAACTAAAGAAGCCTTGAGGAAAATTGGTGGAAAAGGTCATAGGCAAACACTAAACATCCCCAAATGTTGGTCTGGAGATCTTGAGCTGTCCCCAAACTTGTCTATTCAGCCCAGAAAACTGTTAAAAATATGTTTTCAGTTGAAAAACTCAGAATATGGGAGATCCCAGGAGTTATTTTAGCATCAACACAAAAAGGTACCAGGTATTGCAACAAAACAGCTGCACTGAGGTGAATGTGTCCTCCAGCAGCCTGGGGACACCTGCCCAGCTCTCCCAGTCAGGATTGCAGGTCCTGCTGCTGCTGCACTGAGTTACTTTGGACTAAATTAATAATAGGCTTTGTGGCAATTTAGCACTCCACAATTTGATGGCTTTAGCTGCTGTTAATGTGTGTAATCAGGGCTGGGAGATGAAAGGATGAGCTTGAGCAGGCCTGAAAACACCTTTTTGCTTCTGCAGCTCTGCAAGTGCTTTATTCTCTTGATGGTTCTTAAAACCAGCAGGGCTTTTTTTGTTTAAAAACAAAAGCCTGCTGACATCCCTCAAATCTGAGCCTATCAGCTGCACCCAGCCAGCCAGAGAATTTCCTTAATGGAGTGACATTAGGGGCTCTCCTGGGATTTTTAGCTTGTTTGGGAGGGTGTTCGATCTTTGTCTGGTCAGAAAAAAGTCAGGGGCCCTCTGAAAATCTCCCCTGGCACGTTTAATGTTAATATTTAATAATAAACATTCCATATGCATTGCCCTGAGTAAGATTTTTACCCAATGTTTCTGGGATTTTCTGTGTGCTGATGAAAGCCTGGGTGGGGTTGGGGGCTCTGGCTTTTGGAATTTCTTCAATATTCATGATGGATTTCGTATTTTTCAGATTTCTTTTGATGGCATCTATGCAAACATGAGAATGGTTCACATACTCACATCAGTTGTTGTAAGTCTTCATATTTGAAATAATAGTTCCTAGGAAATTGTTAAATAATCCAGTAATTGTAATATAAAAGAGTAAATATTAAACTTGAAACACTTTTTGCCAAGGCTGAGCTTTAAAGGATCACAGAAATTTTAGGCTTGGAGAGGTTTAACTCTGATTTGCAGAGCTACAGCAGATTTCTTAGGTGCACTGGTTGTATTTTGAATTTCCTGTCTTTGGAGAGGTTATGGATAAATAAAATTTATTTTATTATATTCATTTTATAGGGATTAGAAACCTTTCTCCCAAGATTTTAAGGGAAGCCCTGACTTGGCAAAATGAAGTAAGGCAGACTGTCCCACATCTGCTTGAGGCCAGGATAAGCTTTTATCCTTATTTGTACCCACACAGGCACAGATTTGGGGTTTGCACAAAACCTCCTTTGTGTGTTTAACTGGTCAAGAGTCTTGTGAGAACCAAATATTCTCCAGTGAGTATCTTAAATCCCTTCAGAACTGCCCATACACACCCAGCTATTTGAATTTGCAGAGCACAGCAGTGTGTTTATAAATGGGCAGATGCTGAATGAGGAAATTGGCTAAAAATTGAGCTGTATTTTTACATTTTGGACCTATGTAAAGAACACGTGTTTTAGAAGATCACTGTAATGTTATTTGTCATGTTGGTAGAAAGTTATATTTTCATTTTCCTTGCATTCTAGGGATCCAAATGTGAAGTACAGGTGAAAAATGGTGGTATATATGAAGGAGTTTTTAAAACCTACAGTCCTAAGGTAATTTTTTACATTTTGACTCTTCCCTATTGTTAAAATTCCTAATACCGAATAACCAACATTTGATGAAAATTTAAATATTTACCCTGAATTATTTTTACTGTTCATGCCTAGATTTAAAGCAGATTGTAAAAACCTGGTTTTTGCACGTTTTTGAGGGCATGGCTGTGCAATAAAGCAGTGCCCTGTGTTTGTATTTCCCACAGTGTGATTTAGTGGTTGATGCTGCTCATCGGAAAACTGCAGAATCCAGTTTGGGGCCAAAAAGGGAGGACATCCTGGAGAGTATCTTGTTCAAGTCTTCAGACTTTGTTATGGTGCATTTTAAGGATATGGATACCAATTATGCCAGAAGAGGTATATTTGTTTTATTATTTTTTTATGTTTTAAGTTTATAATTCAAAGTTTTTCATAGTAGATGCTTTTGGATTCAAATACTGAAGTTCATATTTAGATTTTTAATTCTTAAAGAGTACAAAACGTCAGCACCTTGTGAAATCAGAAATTCATAAATTTAAAAAAAATGTATTTTTGAGTAGCTGTTTTGGTGTCTGAAAAGCAAAGCCTTAGTGGTTTTACAGAATATTTTATAGATTCTATGGGAGGCAGACACATTTTTGGAAATGTCATTCTAAATTTCTCTGTTAAGTGTTATACAAGAATCTTTGAATACAAAAACTCTTTGGAAAAAGGTAATTTCTCAGAGTTAGGATATAAAGAGTCTATACTGAGGTAACTTTTGTGTCTAAACATGCTTTCATAGAAATATTCTATAAATACTCCTGCCAACAAAGCTAGAAATTCTTTTAAAATCCTCTATTTGTGTTTTAATTTTTCCTTTACTCCTTGTAGACCTGTAGGTAAAGCTCTTCAAAATACAGAGAGGTGACAGACAAATCTTAAAATCTTGAAGACATTGAAACTGTTCAAATCAAACAATTTAGCAGGCAGTCTTCATACTTTTAATGTCTGACCTCCAAGCCCCTGATTATTCTTCTGGAACCTGAGAGCTCATGAGTCAGTTCTATTCCTTTGCAGATTTCTCAGGTTTTGGGCAGCAAATCTCCAGAGTCTTTCTGCTTAATGTTGCTGATTTGCTGGGATAAGGTATAAAAGGAAATACAGGTTTTTATGGCATGGGGTGAAATTTTCTCTGTGTACATTTACAGGCTGATTAACAACTGTCACAGGAGCTCAGTGGTTATTGGAACACAGGTTTTATTCCCATTAGCAGGGACTTAGAGATGAGGACATTTAATGAGAATTTCTCTCCTCACCTTGTGTTTGTAGCTGTTCTTGCCTGATCTAAAGCTGCAGAATGAGAGGTTTGTTGTTTCAAGGAATTTTTTTGCTTTTCCCAGATGATGATGCATAATGTCAGAGCAAATGCAGCATTGAAATGCAGATAAGTTCCAGGTTCTGGATGGGACTTGGAATTTAAATTACATGAGAGCTGTTTTATAATGGGTTTGGTATGAACATCACTTTAATGTAAATGCAAACTGGGCTCTCCCTCACCCAATCTTTATAGATTTTGAGCAGACTGAATGAGGAATATGCTACTGCTTCTAGGAATAATTGCTCAATGGACATTTTCTAGAAGAAAATGACTGTTTCAGGTTGAACAGTCCCTCAGTTCACTTTATTAGGTGGAATGATGAGTCTAAATCTCTTAAATACTGGAGAGCTGAAATAAAGCCATAAAAACTTGGAGCATGATAAACTGGAAGGCTGCAGAACTTGATAAGTCAGAGTGGGTGAATTAATCTGCTTTCCATTTTGCCCCAAAAATACATTATCTGGAAATGACACTTGAAAGTGTAACTCAGTCTCTGATCACACCTTCAAATTAGAGCAATGAGGGGCTCTCTGCTTTCTGGGAAATTAAATAAGGATTCAAAAGGTTGGAAGTTTGGGAATGTGCATGAAGGAACTAGGAACATGAAAGGCCTTTCTTCTTGTAAATAAACCCAAATCTTTGTGGTGCTGGATGATTTAAAGTGAAAACTGGCTCTGAACTCCTGCCTGAGGACTTGGTGCTCCTTGTTTTGGGGATTGTCCCTGCTTGATGCTCTGGTTACACTTACCTAGGAACAGAGACTTTTGAATTGTCTAACCCTCAATATTTTTTTGGCTTTCACAGACAGGTGAGGAGAATTTGGGAATACTTGCTTGGAAAGGCTTTAAAATCATAGTCAAATAAAAGAACTTTTCATCAGCTCTCCTTTGGGAGGCTTACCTGGGGTCTGATGATCCTTGTGGGGCCCTTCTAGCTCAGAATATTCTGTGATTCTCTCTGTGTGGTTTCTTACCCTGTAGGAGACTTCTAGATTTTGTGGAGCCCTTGAACTAAATAAATTTCTGCAGAAGATACTGCTTTGAAAATTTTAATGCATTCTGGTCTCCCAATAAGTAGCTGTGGATTTTATTCTGGTATTTGTTCTCTGCTGGGCTGGAGGAATGTGGGTAAATGGGTTTGAGGAGCAGAGATGTTTCTCTGGAGACTGGAAGGGGAATGGGGAAGAGCAGCAGGTGGGGAGAAAAGGAATGGGATGGAGTCTCCTTTCAGAAGAAGGAAAACAGAGTTGTGTGTGAAAAGGCTCTGCCAGAGGCTGCCAGGCAGCTCCCAGTGCTATCACAGCCCTGCAGCTTTGGGGCAGAGCTGATAACCCCCCCAGAGAGCTCAGGGAGGGAGCAGCACTGCAGGCCTGGGGTGGGACTGGAGCAGCACAGTGGGGTTTGTGCCAAGCATGACTCTGCACCTTCACAGGCACCCCTGGGCTCTGCCCAGATTGTACAAATTGGGAGAGAAATTGGTAAGTCTGCACAGAGAGGGGTGTTGTGGCTGTGGATGTTCCGAAAATCAATGTGTCCCTGTTTGCTGGGCCTTTCTGCAGCTCTGTCAGCCTGCACACACCTTGCAGCTCCTGGGGTGCTTGTTTGGCTTCCAGGGGAAGGGGAGGGATCACCTGAGGGTCTCTCTCTGTGGGATTGAGGTTTGCTGCAGTACAGGCAGGCTGATGAATGAAACATGCACTGGAAAGCTCAGCTGAAGCTGTGTTACACCCATCATTCCCCTTCCAGACTGTTCTGTCTGCTCCTAAAGAGGGGCTGACACTGATTTCTGTATGATTTTAGCAAATCAGCTGCTAAAACCCCACTGTCAGTGCAGGCTGAAATCCTTGGCTGTACATTAATATCAGCACATCTTTCTGCTTCACCTTTGAGTGCTGAGATCCTGCTGCTGCTGCTGGGAGATTTGGGCTCCTCACTGATGACAAACAGAATCAGGTTCTGTTTGTCCTGATTCTACACCAGAATTGTTTTCTGGGAGCCCTGAGCACTGATCAGTCCTCAGAGCTGGTTTGCATGGGATTCAAATTTCAATCAGGCTTTGGAGTTGCCTTCTTGGCTTCTCTTTAAAGACAAGACAATTCAAACATCATAACTTACTGGTAAAGTAAAAAACTTCTGCAGTGTTTTTATTGGTTTTTTGGCATGCTGAGGAAAATACTACAAACCCAATGAAAAGAAAGGCAGAAGAGAATTAGCTATTTAAGTTTTTCCTTGAATTAGCTCTGAGAGTGGCATCCTTCCAGAGAAAGTGTTGCAAGGGGAATAGCAGAAGGCATCTTTTGAACAAAGGAAGGAAATGTTGGCTCTGCAGAGCCGGTGCTAACTGGTTTTAATGTTTCAAATCAGTAGTAAGGAGTTACAAAACAAATCAGAGTTTGCTGTTGAAACCTTTAAGGTGAAACCTCAGTTTACTTTGCCTTGATCAAAGCTTCAGTGGGTGCCATCAGCACCTTTGGCACGTAGCACTGATTGGTTTAATGGCATTTCAGCTGCAGACTGGCACTTAATTGCACATTTGTGCTCTTCACCAAAATCTGTTTGTGAAAACAAGCATGTTAGACATTGAAATTAATTAAACCCGGACTCTTAATTGCTCTGCTCTGGCACTTTTTGCTTTAACTCAGTTAGCAGCACACACTTGAGGAATTTGCCCCAGCTGAGTTTTTCGCAGAATGTGTATTTTTAATTTGCCTTAATATGAATTTCCATTGCATAGAGCTCTCCTTGGGATTTTTTTCCATTCATGAAAAATGATTTTTTACCAGGCTTTAAAACAAAGTCTTTGATACCCAGCTCCTGAGCTTAGGAAATGTCACATTAAGCAGGTACAGAGGCAGTGGGGGCTAATTGAGTGTTACAGCTCAGCCCCTTGTTTCACCAGGTCCCATCTGATCTTTAACTCGGGTTTTACCTTGTAGAAAAGAGATTGATTAAAAATTTGGCCTTGTCAAGGTGTCATGTGAACTGCTCCTTCAACAGCTCAGAGATAAGAGGCACCAGATAAGGGAGAGCCTGGGCAGTGTCTTGTCAGTTATTGCTCTGCCAGTCAGCACTTCCAGCAGCAGCTCATGCTTTACCTTCTACTTCATTAATCATCCTAATTGCCACATTTTTGTTTTGGAAACTGTTATTTTTAGAGTTTTTCACATTCATTTTCAAGCTTGTTGCTGATTAATTTTGGGAGAGGCTTTGCTGGGTTTTTAATTGTGGTCTCCCATGTGCCTGCCCTGCTGTTTGTTCCAGGAAAATTCTGATCTGTGCCTTGAGGTACCATCCTGCTGCATTTAAACTTTGCCTGGGTGCTCTTGAGACCACATTGTCTGGCTGGGAGTGCCTTTGTAACTTGAGTTTCTCCTGTCTTTGGGTTTTCTTTGAGTTGTAGAGGTTAAACAGGCAAAGCTCCATTTGTGACTTTGTAAAATGAGAGAGGAACTCAGAGCAGTGGAGCTTCCTGAGCTCTATGATATCCTTAATGTACTGGGAAACTCAGCAGGGAGTGCACACATCCTACTCAGACCTGCAGCACTTGCTGATAGTGGAGTTTTTGTTTTGACTTGGGTGTTTTTTCCATCTGTATCATTACAATAACAGCTCTTCTGAATGTTTATGTGGCTGTTTAAATAAGAAAATTAGTGGGTTGAGTGGATGAGTCTTGTTAAGCTGGTATTTTATTCACAGTATCCAAAATGGCATAGTTGTGTGGAGTTTGCCTGGAGGAATTTAATAGAAATTAAGGAAACACCCTTCTGAAAAACAGATTGCCTTCATCAGGTGCTGCCATCAGGCTCCTAATTCATATTTATCTAATCTCACTGGAGAGGAGCTCCCTCCATTCCCAGAGATGCAAAACAAATTTCAATTTCCTAAAAGACATAAACAGCCTCCAACTTGGGTTTGGTGTGAAATGTCCCAATCTGAGCAGAAATAAAACATGGAATTAATGATGTTTGGGCCAGGAGCAGCAGTGGTTTATCTGAGTTAAGCCATGGGGTATTGATAAGGTAAATGCAGAGTTTACATTCTTAAAAATTCTTAAAAATATCCTCTTTAGCTAGTACTTAACTATGAGTTATAGCACTGTGTTCCTGTGTAGTTTCAGATGACATTTGAATACATATATATAGTATATATTATAATAAAGTATATTTTAAAAGCTGTTTGTGTGAGCTGGCTGTTATTAAAAAGACCAAGTACAATAAATTTTTATCCAATTTGTGTTCAGAATTTCACTGTGAGATTGGGTAAAACAGGAATAAAAGCAGTATCAGCAGTCTCTCTTTAAAACATCTTCAGTGATTGTGTAAAAGCTGTTACATCAGGGGCCAACTTCATATGTTGGGAATTCTTTTCATAATAGCTTTAAAGTTCATTTTATTTTTTTTCAGGCAGATTTTTAGATCTTGCCAGAAGTTAATTTAGGCCACGTTTTTCCTTATCTGGCACTGCCTGGTGGTTTGATTTCATCTTTTCTAAAGGTCTGCAATGTTTGCTCCTTATTTTATCAGCAGAATGATGATAGGAAATTCTGGATTGAAGACTTATTTATTTTAGGCTGATTTATTTATTTATGAGCTTACAACAAGCTTATTTGATTTTTTAAAGTTCTTTATGTAGTTCTGAGATCCAGTTGCTTACATATACAAAAGCTTAGTGAATGGCTTTAGATATATTTTTACAGCAATTGAAATACTCTGATATTATTCCTTTTTAAGTCTGGCTTGAATGAAACATGAACAAGTCAAAAAAATGTTTGTGATCTTTATTTTTTGATGGTTTTATAATTTTTATAAACAATAGAAGAACCTTACTGGTTATTTATTCTCTTATGTTGTTGAGAACAAAATATAGAGAGTTTCTGAATTTTTCTGTGTGATTCGGATAAGCTGCTGCTTGGAAAAACTCTGGCAGGAGAGGAAACCCCTCTGTTCATGTCACAGGAAATGGGAGCACCAAGCTGATGGATAATTGCCCTGTTGGTGTGTTGAGGAGTTGTGGAAATAGAAGAAATTTGGATATTTGAAAGGAAAATTGCATTTTGCCCATTTAGGGAGTTGCTTTCCTGCTTTTTTGATATTTGCACACCATTGTGGTGTGCAGTTGTGTGGGCTGGTTGGAAAAGAATTTTATACAAGTCTTTGGTTTTCTAGAAGAATAGGGATCCTTGTGTTGTCTTTTTTTTCTCTTTTTCTCTCCCAAATATACATGTAATCATAGAAAACACTTTGAAATAACTGAAAATAATTCTATTTTCTGACATGGGAGAAGTTAGTCTGTACTTTAATCTGGAGTAGGCACCTTTCTCAGCAGCTCCAAGAGGAGGGCAATGATGATATTTTGCCTGTGATTCAGCTGTGTTTGGGCTGTTCCTCAGCTCCAAACCAGTGTGCAAACTTACCCAAACTGGTCTCACTGGTCCCAACCCTCCCCATTTCTGTTGCAGATGCTTTTACTGATTCAGCCATCAGTGCTAAGGTGAATGGAGAGCACAAGGAGAAGGATCTGGAACCTTGGGATGGAGGAGAGAACACGGCCTCCGAGGAGCTGGAGGCGCTGGAGACCGATGTCGTGAGTGATGCTTTGATCATCTCTGGCCAGCAGTACAAAATGAGCTGTTTCCCTGGATATGCCTTGAAATAATTCCTTAATTTCAATTTACTAATGAGCTTTGGAGGAGCAGAATTGCTGTCCTGCATTGTGCTGGTGGATGTTCAGTCTTTGCCAGCAGCTGCCACAGCCCTTTGGAGCGATCTGGCTGAGAATAGCTGCCTTTCAAATGGCACTTTTGGCAAATTCTGAGCAATGGCAGCTGCTGTGGTGAGAGCTGTGTTGGACTCCAGGAGCCAAAGAGCAGCTTTTGTTAAGGACTCCAAATCCAGCAATGCCCCAAAGTGATTTATGTTTAATCAGAGCATTGCTGTCTGACTGTCATTGCACTTGGAAGTGATGGGGAGATTGTGCTCAGCTCAGTGTCCCTGGGCTGCAGAGGGAGAGAATTGATGGAAGCCTGACCCAAGCACAGGGACAGACTCAGATTATGAATCATTAGATGGAGAATGTGGCCTCAGATGCCATCTCCTCATCTATCACAGCAGTCAGCTTTTCCTCAAGCAGAAGTTCTTGTAGCCAGGTGTCCAGCCTGCACTGTGTTCAAGGAGATAATATTACTGATAAGAGCATATTAACTATGGGTAGAATAATTCTCCTGTCAGTTTGGGTGTCCATACTGTAGAGCTGAGATTTATTGGAATACTCAGTACTCTCAGTGCTTTTATAAAATATTCAGAGCATTTATTGTTGTGCTTGAGTGCTGTGATAGCAATTTTACAGAAGTGGGGGAGTTGTGCAGATCAACAGGAGCCTTCTGCCTGTGGTGCCTCTCAGGTAATTCCATCAGTGCTTTTGAAAAGTTTCAGAAGTGTTAATTTGCACTTTTTGGAAGAGGCAAAAAAGATATTAATGTATGTATGTCTTGCTAGCCAGTAGTCTTCTAATACAGAGCATGTATTTAAAAAAGCCTCACAAAAACAATACAGACTCACAACAAACAAAAAAAAACCGGAATTTTGAAGGTAGAATCTGTGCAGCTGGTGAACAAAGCTCCCCGAAATAAACTGTGGCATTAATAACTTTGTTATCTGGACAGTGAATTCATAGGCCCAGGAAAAAAAAAAAAGGGGCAGAAGCTTTAACTTCTGCCATCAGCCCTTCATTTGAAGGGAATGTGTTTCCAGTGTCATTTTGAAAAACAAGCATCATTTTCTTCTAGTCTAATGGATGGGATCCCAATGACATGTTTCGTTACAATGAAGAAAATTATGGTGTAGTGTCAACTTATGACAGCAGTTTATCTTCTTATACGTAAGTTCCAAAATATTTTGTTATTAGATTTGTATTGAATGTTCTCCCTGGTTTGACAAACTTTATATTCTGCAGCTCCTTTTGCATAGTTTCTGAAGTTGTGGAATCAAATAACTGCAAAAGCAATGAATGAATGGTGCTTAAGAAACCTTGCCAGCTTTCTGTGAATAGTTAGATGTAGAAATCTTTATATATTCCCTTAAATGGGCACAGCTCATTGCCATTGCAGAGTTTTCTGAATTTAGCCATGCAATAAGGCTTGTTTCTTGCAGAAACTTCCAGGAATAGGGTGGAAAGCTGTGAATTAATCTGTATGTAGCTGCTATACCTACAGCTTTTTGTTTAACCTAGCAGAGCAGTTTGGCTGAACCCTGATTTTATTGAGACAATTGATCTGGAAGATCCTGGAATGCTGAAAAGCTGCTGATAACCAGGGTGGGGGTTGTGTGCTTGTTTAGCAGACTTGTCCAGCTCTAAACTGAAGTTTTAGTTAAATATAATAACAACTGGAATATAGAAGTAGTATAAAGGCTGCTCTGGCTACTCTGGCAGTGATTTATTCCCCAGAGTCTGCAGCTCTAATGTTCACTGCAACTGCAACACAAATGGACTGCAGATGTTCACAGCCATTGTGAAATGGCTTCAGTATTTCCCCACTCTTTTAACCCCCAAGCAGAAACCTGTTTTTTTCAATATCAAGGAATAGCAGTGAATATTTTGATTTTTTTTTTTCTGTGTGTGTATGCACTTCTCTACAATGTGGTTCAACAATGTGATTTCTGTGTTTTGTGCAAATGGACCTGTAACAGGGTGATAATCAAAGTGTCCTAATCAGCTTATGTTTGAATCCTGGGGAAGCTGTTCTTTCCTTGCCTTCACTGCTCTAAGTACTTTTTGTACTTTTGAACTTGAGTCTTCCATCTTTCTGCTTTCTGGATATTAATGGAAACAGATTAAAAACATGAAGGTGGCTTTAAATTAATTCCATTTTTTTCCCCCCAAGTCAAGCAACTTGCTTTGCATATCAGTCTGCTAAACTGGGAAGCTCTTTTGCTGATTTTCCATGAAATGCTTAGATGTGCAGCTGAAGGATTTCTTGTTTGATTTTCTCTTCCTAGAGCTAAGCAATAGCAGGTAGAGTTTGTCAAACTGCATCAAGGTACAACTTTGTGTTCCAGCAAATGTATTGATCATCTCCAAGGTTCTGAACAATGTCACCCTGTCCATCCCCTTCCTCTCATCTTTAATGCCCTGGTAGAAAACATGAAATCATTCCCTGCCTCTTTAGGTTGCCATACATCCCTTCATTTTTTGCACTCACTTGAAATAAATGAGGATTATTGGCTGTTCTTTATTTGTTATTAACAGAGGTGCCTGGGACCAGGTTTGCATTCATGTAAATCTTATTTGAGCCAAAGCTTTATGCTGAGGGATTTTATTAAATATTCTTGCAGTTACCATTGATAAGGCCAGTAAATGTTTTGACTGGCCAAAAATGAGGGGGAAATCTTGTGCTGCAGTAGCTGAGTGCTGGATTGGAATGTGGCAAAGCCACTTGTTTTCCTCGTTCTGCCACCAACACTTGAGCAATTTTGCATGTATTATTCTATACCTGGCTTGGATCTCCACCCACTTTCTTTGTTTTTCTTCTTTATATTATTCAAAATATGGGCAGTTGTGATTCTATAATGCCCAAGCCTCAGATCTGTTCTGTATTTTTATGTAGCTTATTCTGAAGTAAGGTTGGTGGAACAACTTTTGCAAGTTAAAATCAGGGAAAAATACTGTTTTTTTAAAACCTGAGACAAACATTAGGACAGGCAAACCCCAAAAATGGGTGGCAGAAGGAGGTGCCAGGTATGATCCCATCCCTGGTTGGGTTTTTCAGTGTTTCAGTGCTCATGTATTGAATTTTGATTTGGTGGCTTTCCTAAGGGATGATTTTTGCAATATTCCATTGCCTGCCATAGAGAGAGACGTGGAAAGAATGGGATTGAGGTCCTGGCACTCAGATGAGCCCGGAATTCCTGGTCCTGTGCTCTGAAGTGTTGCCTCCATCTTTTCTGCAGTTCTTCAGAACAGGGAGAGCTGAAATCCTATGGCTGGAATTATCAAAGCAGTAAGGATGTCAGTCTGTAGTTTCAGCAGGATTGTGTCTGCTGGCAATGTGTAAATAGCTCAAAAAAATTCAAATTTGGGCTCTTGGAGTAGCTTCTTATGTAAACAGCAGTCTGAGGCTTTTTATTCCTGATGTTCTCAACCATGTTAAGAGTTGCAGCCTTTGCACAGCTTTAGGTACTGGGGATTTTACAAATCCTGTGGAAAAGTTCTACACCCTGTCCTCAGCTCTCTAGGCAGGTAAATGACCCTGATTTTGTCCATAATATCTAACCAGTCCAGGAACTTTGTATTAAAAAACAGACAGCAAGTCTACTGGCTTAGGAGCAAGATTTTTTTTTCCCCTCTGACTCGGTTAGAACTAACACTGTGTGATTTTTGTAACTCCTTTGTGCTTTTGAATGCATTTCAGAGATTCTTTTCCTTTCCATTGTCTTTTCAGGGTGCCATTAGAAAGAGATAATTCAGAAGAGTTTTTAAAGCGGGAAGCCAGAGCAACTCAATTAGCAGAGGAAATTGAATCAAGTGCCCAATACAAAGCTCGGGTTGCCTTGGAAAATGATGAAAGGACAGAAGAAGAAAAATATACTGCTGTTCAGAGAAATGCTAATGAAAGAGAAGGACATGGTGTGAACACTAGGTACTTGAGTACACTATGAATAGTATTTTTATTTAAATTATGGAGGTATTTCGGTGCTGTAGCAGTTTGCTCATTGATACTGGGCTTTTTCAGCAGGCTTGATTAGGTTTGGAGCCTTGTGTAAACAATCCTGTGCTGCTTTTGGCACTCATGCTGACTTGGACACCTCTGCCTGGCCCTGTATTATCTCTGTAGTGAAACAAACTTCCCCATTCTGACCTGTCACCGTGGTGAATTTGTCCCAAATTCCAGGAAGGGGCAGTGGTTTTGGTGTGTCCTGGAGAATTTCAGGCATTACTGCTAATCCTGCAGTGCTGTTGGCTCATAAAGTGGACTGTGTGGCCACTATCAAAAGCCAATTCATGAGGTGACTCTTGGGTCAACATCTGATACTATTTAGACTTTTCCCCTTGGCTTGATGGGAGAAAAAGAGAGAAAATGGGGAGCTTTTTGTTGCCTCTCAGTTGTGTCTCAACACTGATAGAAATTTGGTGTGTTTCAGAGAAAATAAATACATTCCACCTGGACAGAGGAACAGAGATGTCCTGTCCTGGGGAAGTGGAAGACAAAACTCACCGAGGATGGGCCAGTCTGGATCAGGCCCACCCATCTCAAGGTCTGGATCCCACACTTCAGAATTCAGCCCTAACTCTGGAGCAGATCAGAGAGTAGTTAACGGAGGCAAGTATCTGAAATCTGAGTGTATGGACCTCATAAAACTGCAGAAAATCACCTCATTTTGTGTACAAATGGCGTGGGATTGGTTTGTGTATTCCATAAACCAGGCTAGCATTCATCATTTAACACAGAGGTTGTGAGTTGGATTTGGGCTTAATTCACGAAGGAGCCCTCGTTGCACTGCTCTGTCTGTGGCTTTGCAGAGCAGAAATGTCATTTATCTTCCTCCTCAAACACCTTTGTCTTAGATGATGGTGCACTGTGTGGTTTTAAAGATGAAAAACTGCATCAGCACTGCAAAGCTCTGGGTGGAGGAGCAGCAGTGCTGACACCTGGTGAAAGGCAGTGGCAGGAGGAAGCTTCTCTTCCTTTCTGGAAAAGAATAAAGCCACTTGCTTGCCTTGATAAAAATGGGAGGGAAAACCAAGAACAGTGTTAGAGAAAATGAATCCAAAGCCTTCCCTCCAAATGGGTGTTTGAGTGTTTTCTGCTGGACACATGGGAGGTATTTCTAACCAGGCACTGCATGGCAGCAATTGGTCTCCCAGAAGCCAAAAACATTTCTGGAGATGGGTTTCAGCAGTGGCCTGTCCTCAAGGCATTATTTGTAGAATTCAAAAATGCTATTATAATAAATTGCTGTGAATAAATGAAAAATGTATAATACTCAAGTGATCTATCTGGAGAGGGAGTCTGAGAAGCATCCAAAGGTAAGTGAGACTTCCTTTCTAAAGCCAGAGTCAGCTCTGTAAAGGATGGACAACTGAGCCTTGCCCAAACAATGCTAACCTTGAAATTTGTCTGTACTATTTGTGGTTTCTCTCACCCTGTTACTCTGCTGAATCAACATCATAGACCTAAAATATTCAGAATGGCTTGTAAATTCAATTAATTCTGCTTTGAAAACCATGAGCCCTATATCCTAGATTAAAATCCTCCATCAATACCTCAGATAAGTGATAAAGGCATAAATGTCAGCATTCAGACACTGAACACCGCTGGTTTTTGTAAAGATCCAGCTCCTGGATAGATATTTACTCATCATTTGGTTTGAAAGTAGCAGTTTGTGTGGTCAGTACTGTTTGTGAACAGCTGTTTGAGAGCCTCTGGTAGCTGTTAAGGACTTTGTGGAGTGCTGGGTGCTGTGGAGCATTGGTATGCCAGGCTAACAGATCAAACTTTGCTGTCTGTTCCTTAGTAGTGTTTGTAGATCCTAATTAACCCTTTGGGGAGCCTGTGACATTCACAACTTCAATTTGACCCCAAAAACCAAGGCAGACCCAACCCTGCAGAAACTTTATCTCCTTAATTACCACCTCGATCCATCCCCAAAGGGTTAAACCACTGAAAAAAAAAAAAAAAAACAAACCCAAAAAAAAAAAAAAAAAACCCCAAAAAAACCAAAAAAAACCCAAAAAAATCATTTTGTCATATTTTACTTTTTTTTTTTTTTTATAAATTTCTGTTGCCCTCCCCTTCCCCCTTCCCCCAACACCCCCAACCCCCCCATAATTTTTTTCTTTAGTTTTTATACTTTCCTTCATATCATTTGTTCTGTCAGGTGTTGCCTGGCCATCGCCTTGCCCATCTCCTTCCTCTCGCCCACCTTCTCGCTACCAGTCAGGTCCCAACTCTCTTCCACCTCGGGCAGCCACCCCTACACGGCCGCCCTCCAGGCCCCCCTCGCGGCCCTCCAGGCCCCCGTCTCACCCCTCTGCTCATGGTTCTCCAGCTCCTGTCTCTACTATGCCTAAACGCATGTCTTCAGAAGGTACAAATATACCACGATTTGTTTTCATGGGTTTTTTTTTAATTTTTTAATTTTTTTAATTTTATTTTTTGTTTCGTCTTTGTTTAACTCCTCCGTGAGTTGTTATTGACAAGTTGTTTTCATTTTTTTTGTTGTTGTTGTTTTGTTGTTTTTTTTTTTTTTCTCTTCATTACTTAACCTATAATTTGTGTTTTAACTTTAGTTTATCAGACTATTTCTATTAACCTTTTGTTTTTGTTTTGTTGGTTTGGTTGGTGGTTTGTTGTTTTGTTTTGTTTTGTTTTGTTTTTTTTCCTGTTTGTTTGATTTGAAGAGCTTTACAAAAACGAAAGAAAGCTGTGAAATTTCCCGAGGTTTGGTATGAAATTAAACTCAGCTTTGTAAACGCTGCTCAGTGTCTTAAATTAACCAACAGCAACATGCAGGACCTGATAACTTGATAACCTGATAACCTGATAACTAGGGAGCATTTTTAGGACTATTAATTTGTATAAAATACCAATTTATATAAAATACCATTCAAATAAAACACCAATTTAAATAAAATACCAATTTATTAAAAATATCAATTTATATAAAATACCAATCTATATAAAATACCAATTTTAACACAATTATTCCACAAAACACATAACTAAATCATTGAATCACCTCTTGTAAAGCAACCAATGACAATTATAATAATAAAAATGCTGTATTCAAAGAAGTGAACTGTAGAATGAGGTAGGATGAGCTGCTTTAAAGGTGAATTTGTAGGAAATTTTTATTCAGAACTATAAATCAGCTCCCCAGCAGTCAATAATATACAGAGAAAGGCTGACCTGTGAGTCTTTGGTAGCTGTGTGCAGAATTATCCCAATTAAATTTGTCCTGGGAGGGTGCAGTAAGGAACATGGTTTATTATTTTTACTTCAAGTGCATTTAAACTCTGCACAACATGGTGTAGCAAGCCTAAAAAATGCAAAGTGGTTGTACTGAGCTCCCTGGAGACCTGCAGTGGGTGCTGTAGCTGGCTCCACTGGAGCCATGGGAGAGAGAGGAATGATCCCTGACACTCAGCAGGAACACTGGGAAATGCTTCTGACCAAAAAGTGGGGGGTAGCCACATCTGTCTGGCCTACTGTCCATTTATTGTGGGGTTTTTGTGGAGAATCCACCTGAAAATTGAATTATTTCTTAGCACTTGTGGTTGGTTTGTCAGACATGCAGTGAACTGCTGCTTACCAAAAGGTTTAATTCTTACTGCTGCAAGATTATTCCTGGGAAATGTGTGTTTAAAATATTCACCTGTGTGAAATTTGCATTGAAGTGGACTTGAGATTCATGGTTAAAATAGAGGCTGACATTTAAAGATTTATGTAACCAGGAAAGGTACTTGGTATTTTAGAAGTTTTTCTGAAACCTAAAAGCCATTATCTGAACTTGACGCTGTTACTGACCTGTGTTAAAAAGGAGCTGCAATCAGCCAGATTCTGTTCACACACAGTTTTTCCTCTTGAATATCAACATTTGAGTCTAATCCTGTAAAGAAAATGTTTATTAGTATGTTATAATTGTATTGCTGCTTAGATTTGAGCATATAACCATGGTGTGGCAGCTGTGCAGAATTCCTGTATTCACTTATGACTTTGGCTTCTGGTGTTAAACATGCATGACTTGAACCTGGGGATAACAATCTCTTGTTTAGTTGCAATTTTTGCTGACTTGTAAATGAATTGTGACCTGCTGCAGGCAATTGAGCCTGGCTGCAGAGAATGCTCTGCTGACATTCCCCAAGAGCATTGGTCAGCCAGGGGTGGGATCACTATAAATGGTTGGGATCACTGAGCACCTGACAAAAACACTGGGAATTCTTTATTTTCTGGAAAAATGTTTGATAGCCTGGAACTGTGCTTATCCAGGGGCAGCTGCACCACTGACCTTTGTGGCTTGGCAGTGGTGGATGCTTGGATTGAAATATTTTCAATCCAGACCTTGCACACCTGTTTCAGTGCTGATAAAACCTCTGAACACCCAGGAGCTGCCCTGGGGAGGTGATGAGCTTGGCAGCCTGGCTGAACCAATGCCTTGGCCTTTTTTGGGATATCAATGCCAATTTTATTGCTGCTTTATTGAGAGTTTTAAGATGAAATGCAATTTTAAGAGATATATTTGAGTTTTCTGTGGTGAACATCAAGCACTTACTGTGTGGGGTTGTCTTTTTTTCCCCTCAGGGCCTCCACGGATGTCACCAAAGGCTCAACGGCACCCTCGAGGTCACAGAGTCTCTACTGGTAGGGGTACAATTTCAAGTGGCTTAGAATTTGTATCTCATAATGCACCTGGGGAAGCATCTACTGCTGCAGTGGCACGAGGCAGCCCTTCAGGTGGGACGTGGTCATCAGTTGTCAGTGGGGGTAGGTAAAGCTTGGCTTATTGCAGATGGCTTGCAGGGGGATCCTTAGAGTGGGAATCTTGCCTTTTCCAGGCAGTTCAGGCTCTGAATAATCATTTTCCAGGCAATTCAGGCTCTGAATAATCAAATATTGGGCTAAAGTTGGAGTGGGGATGTTCCCAGCTAGCTGAGTGAGAGTTGGTGCAATATTGTCCTAACTGTAGAGTCAGGTGTGGAGAGAAAGGAAGGAAAAGTGTGGGAATTAGTTGTTGAAAGGATTCATTTTTAGGGGATTTATTGGAGGAGTTAGAGATTTGCCACTGCATCCCTGAGTTTGGTTATGGCAGCGTGGCTGGATTGTGGTTTACAAATGAAGGAGGTGTTTGGGTAGAGGTTTTTGGTGTTAAAAGATGAATTGATACTCAAGTTAAGGTGGATGTACTTCTCCTTTAAAATTTACATGGATTTGAAGTGGTGATGTTGTTCTTGGCTGCTGTAGGAGCAGTTATAGAGAGTGTTATTTTTAATCTGTTAATATTTTTTTTTTTAAATATTTGACTTAAAGCTCAGTCTTGTGCCACAGGTCTAGTCTGGAGCTCTTGAGTTGAGGCCATGTTCTGGTGGGCTGTCAGGACCTGGGTGTTTCCTTGAGGGCAAGAGAGCAACAGTTTGGTCCTTTTTAGGTCCTTTTTGGGTATTTTTAGCAGTGCAGGATTCTAGAGGAGCATAGAGAACACATATCTCAGAAAGAAGATATAAATTAGACCCACATAGGCTTGTTGCCTTGTGGAGAAAACTTCAACTCTTCTATTGTGGCATTATTTGTGATTCACCTTCCCTGTTTATATATTATTAACATGCAAGCAGGACTGTTAAACCACTTACCTGCCTGTCTGCTCACTCACTGGGAATTAATATATGACAAAAAGCACAAGTGGGATGAGCAGGAAGCAGGAGCTACAATTTGCTGTCCAAAGAATACACAACTTTCCTTGCTGCTTTAACACAGGGGCAAAAATATACCTAAAAACTGTCTTTTTTCAATAGGCTGTGTTGTTTTTTTTCCAGCTGGCAAACCTCCAAGAGAGGACACTGTAAAATGGATGTGTTTTTTCAGCCCTCTTAAAAAATATTTTACATCTCTTTGTGTGGAGACCTGACCACCTTTTGTGTTCTGCCTGAAACTGGGTTAATGTGAGCTGGTGTAGTTGCACTGCTGGGGATTTGGGGAAGCATTTTACAGATTCTTGCTGGAATTAGAGGCAGGGATAAATTTTGGGGGACAATCTGTGGAGAAATCACCCCATTCTCTATGAAATGCTGTGCTGTAAAGAACTAGGAGATGTGCCTGAAAGGTAAACAGGTTCTCAGTTACCACATAATATCTCACCAAGTATTTCAAAGCATGTTTTGTAGCCATTTTTAAAACTAAAACAAACTGCTGAGCAGATGGGGAAGCTCATCCTATAACTGCTTTTTCCTGTTTGTTTCTAGTTCCGAGATTATCCCCTAAAACACACAGGCCTAGGTCTCCAAGGCAGAGCAGCACTCCCATGGGACCAGCTCTGCCTTCTCCTCAGCCTGGTACAATTCCCACTGAATCTGTTGCCATGCCTGTTCCAGCTGCCTCTCCTACACCTGCCAGCCCTGCATCCAACAGAGCAGTCACCCCCTCCAATGAAGGTAAGTGCCCCTCACTGCCTTGCAAATGCAATTTTTTGTATTTCCCTAATTCCTGACAGGGAATGTGCCCAGGCAGCAGCACAGCTGTTTCCTGAATCACAGGAAAACTTGGGATACATTGAATTTTACTGTGAGTTCCCATTTCTCCAGCTTTAAATTAAGGTTGGAGAGAGGCTTTTTGAGAAGTCTTTATGCTTAGTTTCTTGTGCCCTTAAGGAATATGGGTTTATAGGTGTCTGACTTAATTTTTTTAATCTTTAATATTTTTTATTTTTTTTCTCAATTTTTTAAAGAGGATTTCTTTTTCCAAACTGAATTTTTGCCTCTTTTTTAAGTCAAAGAAAACACAGGCAACTAGTTTCAAACACAGCAAAAGGAATGGGGGAAAAAACCCATTCAGGAGCACAGTCAAATATCTAAGAACTCTCAAATCTTTGTGGCATTCTGTATGAAGAGCTTGGACTGCTGAAAATAATTGGCTCTAAGTTTATAGTTTGTTCAGTGTGGTTAAGGTTTTGTGTATGATGAGAGGGATGAGTTTAATTGGGTTTTTTTTTCATTAGACAGTGGGATGGGGAAGGAGGATGAGGGAGGGTGATCCTCCAGGCACCAACTTGGTAGCAGAAAATGTGTAAAGGTTTTAAGGTTTTTTAACCTTTTAAAAGGTTTTTCAAGCTAAAAATGGTTAAATCTCTCCCATTTCTCTCTTGCCTTCTCTCTTTGGTCAGTTGGAGTTGTGTGTAAAAGAATAACTTTGGCAATTTCTTTTCCAGCTAAAGATACAAGGCTTCAGGACCAGAGGCAAAATTCTGCAACTGGAAACAAGGAGAATATAAAGCCAAGTGAGACTTCTCCTAGTTTTTCTAAACCTGAAAACAAAGGTTTGTATCCAAAGCTTTCATGTACTGGAGTGATGTAGGAATTGTGCACCCTAAACCTGGCTGCTTTAGTTGGCATTTTAAGGAAGGCTTGGAGGCAGTCTGGTGTTCTACAGTGAAATTTGGTCATGCAGTTGTGAAGTGGCACTTTGAAATGTTGTTTGTGACTCATTCCATCAACACCAAATGTAGAGATGCTCATGTGGATGGTGTGATTTCACTTGTTTTTTTTCTTTTTTTTCCTCCTTTCTTTCCCCTGCTCACAGAGCTGCTTTTTAGCTGCCTTTGGACTGAATATGTTTCTGCTTAGAGCTGTGCTCACAATACTTCTGAGCATCGTGGTCAGCAGAGCTTTTCTAACTGTGCTTTTCCTATTATGCCTCACATTTGTTTGTCTCTGTAGAGCTGTTTGTTCATTCAGTACTCTAAAAAAACCCCAGTCTTTTCATGTTGTTAAACTGAGAACCATATTCATTCATTCTCTCGTTGGAGAGACCTTTAGGATGAGTCCAGCCATAAAGCTCACCTTGGTCAGTGTTTCTCCTTCACTTGGTGTGTTTTGAAATGCTGGCACAGGCTGGGCTGGGGCTTTTGTTGCATGTTCTTTGTGTTCAGTGATTTCTGCAGTCCCTGCACCTCGGGGCTTCTGCCTTGGTGTGGTGCATGAGAACTAAAGATAAATCAGTTATGTAATGCTCTGCTTTCACAGAGAATTTCTGTGTGCTCACACACATAGGTCATGGGATTCTACCAAATTAAAACCCAAAATAAGGGGCTGGATTTCATTTTTATATCTGCAAAATCATTATATTTCTGCAAACTTAGTGATGTGTATAAAATTTGTGTTAGGAATGCTTGGACAATGTTGATCTTGTGTTTGGCAGGTGTCTCTCCAATTGTTTCAGAGCATAGAAAACAGATTGATGATTTAAAGAAATTTAAGAATGACTTTAGGGTAAGTTTGCCTCTGTTAATGGTGTCATCATTCTCATGTGCATCCAGATTATTTTAATGAATTGAACACACTGCCTACGTTAACAGGTCTTTATGCCTTTGCCTAATGTATGAAAATATCTGTAAGAATTCATGTTATGTATTGTAAAATCAATGCTGACTCTTGTTTGTACAATTGTCTAATGCACATAAATGTGAATATTGACTGCACTGAAAACAGGACTTGAAACCTGTTTGATCATTAGGCACAAATAATTATCTCACACTCCATATGGAGGAGCTGTTGCAAAATTAAATGAAGAGTTTTGCAGAGGAAAATTGAAGATGAATTCATATGACTTATTTCCTGGTTGTAAGGGTTTATTAAATCAGGTTAGCTTTTCAAGTGGTGCTGTTAAATCACTCAGGGGATGAGTCCAGAGGTTTGTCTGAAGCTTTCCTGTCACTCCTTAATCAACATACAGGTCACTTGAGTGGCTCAGCAGCTCCTTACACAGTGCCAGCTTAAACACTGTCAGTGCCCATGGATTTCTTTCCATGTAGAAATGGAAATGAGTGTTTTAAAAGGTCATTTCCAGATGATGGAGGCTTGTGGGACTGTGTTTTACTCTGTGTATGTGACAGCATTAGATGGTCTCTCCTGAGTTTTGTATCAATTTACTGAATGTATCCCTTGGGTTTTTTCAGTTACAGTCCAGTTCCTCTTCAGATGCAGTGGATCAGCTGCTAAACAAAACCAGAGAAGGTGAAAAATCAAGAGATGTAGTTAAAGAAAAGACAGAATCCACCCCTAAAGAATCTATCATAGAGGCTGGCAGTAACACCAACTCCAGTGGTGGCAGTAGCAAACCCAACAGTCCCAGTATTTCTCCTTCCATGAGTAACAGCTCTGAGCAAAAGCGAGGCCCTGAGGTCACCTCCCAAGGTGTGCAGACATCTGGGCCTGGAAGTAAACAAGACAAAGAGGATAAAGAGGAGAAGAAGGATACTTCAGAGTGAGTAACCATGCCTTTTGGGAAAAGCACATCTTTATTAACAGCAGACTTTGTGTAGAAGTCATGGCTGGGTGACACATTCCTGGCTCTAGGTGCTGTGACACAGGAGGAACAACAGGGGAAGGGACTGCCCTGAAAGTCATTTCCTGACTCAGTGCAGAGCTCTGCTCCTGTTGATGCCTAGTTCACATCTAAGAGCTTATTTCAATGTTTTCCTGGCTCACATGAGCTGTGGTATCAACTGGAAAACTTTTGTGGTTAGTTGTAGTAAGTTCCTCAAGGAGAGTGGCTTTTTGCCTGCCATGAGGTGTTTGACTTCTCAGAAATGTGACTCACAGGTGGAAATGAGGTGTTTCTTAAATGATGAATTGAAGATACTCCTGTAAAAGAATAATGCCCAACTGAATTTTTTGTTCTTTATGTTTAGGCAAGTTAGAAAATCAACACTTAATCCCAATGCTAAAGAGTTCAACCCTCGATCTTTTGCTCAAGTAAGTGATTTGCTGCTATTTATCAATGCCTTTGAGTAGATCTTTATAAAACCAACCTTTTCCTTGGAGGATACTCAAACTAACCCTGCCATATCCATTGCTCACCTCTGTTTGCAGCCGAAACCTTCTACTACACCAACCTCCCCTCGTCCCCAAGCTCAGCCCAGCCCCTCCATGGTGGGGCACCAGCAGCCAACCCCCGTGTACACTCAGCCTGTTTGTTTTGCACCAAATATGATGTACCCGGTTCCAGTGAGTCCAGGCGTGCAGGTAAAGTGCTGCAAACTCCTCAACACTTCACTGAGATCCTCAGGAAGCTGAGCAGGGTTTAGGAATCATGGAATGGGTTGGGAAGGACCTTAAAGATCAGCTTGTTGCAGCTTGGGAGCTGGGAGTTAAAGCAGTGAAATAGTAGAGCTTGTATTGCTCTTGTAAATATAAATCATGTTGTTGTTAAGTTTTGGCTGTGTAAATACTGACTTTTCCCAGTGCTCCCCCAGTCTGGATGTTCAAATAATTCCAAACACTTGTAAATGCCAGCAGCCCACGTTTATTGTGGATCTGTGCAGGTTTCCTCCCAGTTCTCCAAGCATAGTCTCTCACTGTGCAACTGTTTCTTTGTTCCAGCTGTGTCCTCCTGGTTGTTGTAGGGATCACTGGGATTTCAAATTTAGCTCCATTATGGAATATCCAGGGGTGGAGAGGACCCACAAGGATCTTCATCCCAACTCCTGGCTCTGCACAGACACCCCAACAATCCCCCCTGTCCCTGAGAGCGTTGTCCAACCTCTCCTGGAGCTCTGGCAGCCTCAGGGCTGTTCCCATTCCCTGGGGAGCCTTTCAGTGCCCCAGCACCCTCTGGGGGAAGAACCTTTCTCTGATATTTCATCCTAACCCTCTCCTGACTCAGCTTTACACCAAAAAGCTGCTGTGAGGCTGTCAGGGAGAGCCCAGTGCCTGCAGTAGCAGCAGTAGCATTCCTGGGCTGGTTGTTGCCAACCATCTGGTCTGAGTTGTGTGTCCGTGCAGACTCAATGTCACTGATCCAAGAAAATCTCATAGGTTAGGCAGAGTTCACTAAACCCTGTAGCAGAACACATCAAAGCTGAGTGGGGCCCCCACCCCAGCACACAGTGAGTTTTTAAAGGAATATCATACCTTCAACTTGTTCTGTTTCAGCCTTTGTATCCTATTCCCATGACGCCCATGCCAGTGAACCAAGCCAAGACATATAGAGCAGGTAAAGGTGAGAATAATACTGCCTGTTTGGTTCTCAGTCTGCATGCAGCATGGCTAAATGACAAATGTTTGTGTGTTTTCTAATCCATGGCAATTTGGTTTCAATCAATATTTTAAATGCTATTTTTATTAAAGGGAACTAAGTGGAAATAGTAATGGATTTTTAGATAAACTAATTCAGCTGAAACATGCCCGGTTTGAGTAATGGGGGGTTGCTTGGTTTGGAATCTGATTTGACAAACAGGAAAACATCTCTGTTACTTGGAGCATTAGGGTGAGCTGATCATCTCCTGTATTTCATAAATATCACAGGTTTGTTTAAAGGGAACTTCTCTGCTGTTTTTTTGTGCTGGTTTGCAGCAGTGCCCCAATTGCTTTATAGAAGGGTTTTTAACAAGATGCAGAGTCACTGTTTCTCCAGAAAGAGTTTGCTGTGCTGCTCTCTGGAAAGAGCTGGTTCCAGTTTGTTCTTGTTCATTCCTGCTGCCCCAGTGACTGAGCAGCTGGACTAACAATGACAATGCCACGTTTTTAAGTGACACCCGTGGCTGTGCAGTCATGGTGGGTGGTGGGATGTTCCCTGTGCTGGGCAGGGCAGTGAGGGAGCAGAAAGTGCTGCTCTTGTTCTTGTGCTGCTGTTCCAGGGCTGTGACTGTGCCCAGTGAATGCTTCCTGCAGTGGCAGCAATGCTGCAGGACAGCAGCAGCACTGCAGCTCCAGTCGCTGCAGGAGGAAATTGTTTCCTGCTGGTCAGAAACAAACAAGGGGCCTTTATCAGCCTAGGGGAGACAAAACCCTGCAGTGTATTTCTGTGTTAAAACACAGTAACTTCACTGTGGCCTCACCCCTGAAATCTTCTGGTTAGTAACACTGTTTTAATCAGAAATACATTGCTGAATGCTCTCTTGCTGGGTGAGGCACCTCCAGTTCTGAGTTCCTTTTTAAGTTCCAATATTTCCTCCATATCCATCTGTGCGCAGCACAGCCCTGTGGGAGCTGCCTGGGTTGCAGCCCTGTGCCTTTACTCTGTTCAAGTTGCCTCCTGTATTTACTTCTTTCTGTTGTTGATCTGCAGTGTAAATAAAATCATCGAGTGAATTTACGGATGTTTTCAACATTTCCCTCTCCTCTCCCTAAGAGGTTGCCCCTGCAGTGGAGTTTAGAGGAGCTTGAGGCAGCTCAGTTGCAGGAAACTGGAGCTCTCCTGGAGCTCCCATGCCTGTGCTTTATAGACTGAATTAGTTTGTTCCAAGTGAGTTGGGTGGTCACCTTCCCATGACAGCTCAAGTGATCCCACACTGCTCTGCATTTTTCATCTTTCTTCCTTAATTATTCCTACTCCTTAAAGATTTTATCTCCCTCAGTGTTGTCTGTGACGTAAAATTTGCTTTCTGCTGCCCTGAGGGGTAAGACAGAGCTCAAAAGATGTGAAAACCTTGAGTTGTGGCTGGGTGGAGAGCTTTATTGTGCTCTCCTCAGCCATAAGCACAAGTCATTTTAACATAAAGACTCAGATTTCCAGCTGAGGAACAGTGGCTGAGTTGTTCTCATAGAAGGTGAAAAAGCCTTTTAAAGGGGGCAGGATTAATTGGTTAATGTAGGAGCCCTGATATAACCTTTCTGTTCTGATTCTGGTCAGTCTTTCTCTCCTTCACAAAAAAGGCAGGGCTGGGTTTGTGGCTGTGTATATCCAGCCCAAAGACAGTGATAAAATCATGTGTTTCCTGGAGAAATTCTTCTTCATTTTTAAGAGAGCTCTAACCCATTGTTAAAGGTGTGGGGTGAGGATATTCCATGTGGTCCCAGTACCTTTATTATAATGTAGAACCTTTCAGAAAGCTCCAGATTTTTAATCTGTCTTTCTAACATGAGACAATCTTTGTTTTCCAGTACCAAATATGCCCCAGCAGCGGCAAGACCAACACCACCAGAGCACCATGATGCATCCTGCCTCAGCAGCAGGCCCTCCAATTGTAGCTACTCCACCTGCTTACTCTACACAATATGTTGCATATAGCCCCCAACAGTTTCCTAACCAGCCTCTTGTGCAGCATGTGCCACACTACCAATCTCAGGTAAGAGTCCTTTCCACGCTCCCCATCAATCCAAGCACAAATAATGAAGTGGTTCAGAGCTAAATAACCCCCTTGTGTCCAGTCCTGAGTCACCCTGAAGAGTTTCTGTGTTCTGGAGCACACGTGGTGATCTTGGAATGTGCTTCAAAGCCTGTAACAAATTTTAAGGTCCTAATGAATTTTAATGTCCTAACGAATTTTAAGGTCAGTTTAGAAGTTGGCATTTATTATTGATATGGTTTTTTAGCTCTTTGAAGAGTTTCTTTAGGTCATGGCCAGCACATCTCCTGGTTAAGTGTTCTAAAAATAACTTAACTTGGTGGACTGCGCTTACTTCAAAGGCTGTTAAATCTACATGTGTAATTGGATAAATGTATAAGCTTAATGCATTATTAGAGTGGCAAAAATCTGACATGCCAATGTTTGCTGTCAGTTTCTAGCCCTTAAATTTTGGAAACAACTGGGACAATCCCAGCAGTGTGAAATCACAACAGTGAAATCACAACAGTGAAATCCTCAGCTCGCTCTGCATTGAGCAAGGCCGAGCTGCCTCCCTTTCAATCCCGACTGTTTAAATGACAAAAGTTTCTTTGGAGTTAATTGTTAACCCAGTTAACTGTGTGGTTTTTCCTTTGTTCTGCCTGCAGCATCCTCATGTTTATAGCCCTGTAATACAGGGCAACGCTAGGATGATGGCCCCACCAGCACACGCACAGCCGGGTTTAGTATCTTCCTCTGCAACACAGTACGGTGCGCATGAACAGACACATGCTATGTATGGTAGGAAACGTTTTGTGTTATATGTAACTTTTTAAGTCCTTACCTTGTGCAGGGGATGTATTTAATCTCAGCCTTCCAACATGGGTATCTCAGTAGATGTGGTTTATATTTCATAAAATTATGATGATGATGATGATGATGAGCAGAGCATTTGAAAACTGAGCCAGCTGGTTCAAATGAAAACTCAAGTGTGCTGATTTCGGTAGGATGCCAGTGACCAAGATGAGATTTCAACCTGGGAGCTGCTAAAGAATATCTGCTGAAAGAAGTTTGTTCAAGTTCTCTTGATGCTCTTGATACATCATCCCTTGTTTGTTCCTTGATTATAATTAGTACTTGTTTTATTGCAAGGTTATGACCTCAGTTTCAAACTTGATTTTAGTTCTGGCAACTAGTGAAATGCTGTCTTTATGATACTACTGGCATTATTAACAGTATGAACACTCCTGTTTAAGCAAAATAAACCATGTGTTGCTTACCTTTCTCATTTGGTAAGTCAAGAATAAGTAAATGCAACAGCTCATGTATTGCTCTGACTTGGACAGTTAGTCTCTAGCATTATCAGATGGGCATTTTTCACTCACAGTGAAGTGCTGAAAATGTGGGTTACCTTGTGACAAGAGTAAAATGTGCAAGAACTTTCTAAAGCATTATAAATGTATGATAAATCAAGGCCCAATTTGGAGGAAAAGGAGCTCACTGCAAAACATGCTATTGAAAGAGGTAGAGTCAAGGTTGTTTAAGGCTTGGAAATTGTCATAAAATGTCAAAACAGCAGATGGTCTCTTGAAAACATGGCATTTCAATACTTGTTATAGCATCTGAGGAAAAGTTTTATTGGGTCACATATATTATTGACTTAGATTCTAATAAAAGATTTTCTGTACCTTTAGACATCTTTGTATGTTTTCGGGTGCTTAGTTTTACACTGCTACTTAATGGAAGTCCATGACATGTCATGAAAACTTACAGAGAATCTGGAGTTTAGTGGGAAATTAATTCTGATTTTAAGAGGTGTCTTACCCGTCTGAAAACATCTTGTCAGCTCTCTGCAGTGGTGTGGTAACAGAGTTAAGAAACAAAAATAACTTATTTTGATGCTCAGAGGAAGAACATTTGAGCTCATTTGTGCTGAAGCTGAAATGGAAGTTACTTGTAGAGATTAATCTTTCTCTCACAGGTCCTTGCTAATTGTATTACTTTGATCTTTTCAACTCTTGTGCTTGAAGTGTCCATGTAAACAGATCTTCTGTTTGCTTTTTCATTAGATTAAATAGAATTCCGATAAAGAGAATGATCAAAGGCTTTCAGACCTTTATTGGTGAAAACCCTCCTCTCAAATTCTAATTAAAATAAAACCAAACATGAGATAATCTGAGATTTGATTCAGAATGGTTGCATGTGACTTTCTAGCAATTTCCCATTGTGCACCATCCTTATCTTCTGTAATCAGTGGGTTCTGCAGTACAAGCCTGTTGCCTTGCTTGGCTTTGATCAGATGTCTGTACAGTTTTTTTTCACTGATATTCTAACTTACAACTGTTAGATCTCATTTTGTGTTGGTTTTGCAGCTTGTCTGTTGTAGATATGTGACTACCTGCCAGTGCAAACAACTAAGTTGGGTCAAACTTGAGAATTCTTTGGTATTTCCTGCCATGTAATTAAATATTACTTTCCCAAGAGCACCTAATTTAACAGAAATGGCCTGTCCTCCTGTGTTCTTTCAAGTAGCTACTTGGTGACTCTTCTAAATATTCTCCCACCTTCCAGTAAATGATGGAGTGCTTGAAATTTTTATTGCTAAAGCCACTAAACCCAAGAGGATCATGAACTCCATGTGACAGACCTTTTTTAAGGGTGTGTTCTTGCCACTGTGCAGACGTGTTCAGTGAACACGAACTGTCTCAAATGTACCCTTCACCTTCCAAGGTAACAGTGACACATGCAATGACTCCTGATGTTCTGCAGCAGCCTCTCAATTCACATTTTTGCAAGGCTTGCATGTGCTGAGTGCCTGAAGACCTGGCCCAGATAGACTGTGCTTCCTCCAAGTGTGTCCAGCTGTAACGTGTCCACTTCAGCTTCCATTTATCCATGTGTGGGGAAAGGCAGGAATGCCAGAGGTGGCCAATCTGAGCTGCTCATGGAGCTAAAGAACATCATGCTGGAATTGTTCACATCTGACTGAGTGACTATGAGAAAATACCCATAACTTATGCGCTGTCTATTGGGAATCTTAAGTTTACCCACATTTGAACTAAATATACCTGTGCATTTTGATTCTGGTCCTCTCTTAAAAAATAATTTGAAAGTACAGAATAACAACTTCCTGAGAAACAACCACCACTGCTGCTTTTGATTTTGCTCAAACAGTTTCCTTTTTGGCTCTTAAAAATTGCTATCTGATTTTTAAAAGATACATTATTACTTAATTTTAGCACTGATATCAGGATTCAGTGGGGCCATGCTGCTGCCCTTTTAACCCTTCAAGGTACTGGTGCTTACTTTGAGTTATTCCTGCAAAATTCACTCAGTTTTTCTCCTGCATATGTGGTAGAGAGAAGATGTCTGCAAGAACTACTGTGCTGAGACCTGGGGGTTGGGGGGAAACTGCTTATCAAGTGTTCCTAAGGTGTGAAATGTTTTCTGGTAAGATCTGAAACTCCACCTTTACTAATGGTTTGGGACGAGTTGAAAGTCTGTGGCAAATAGTAACAGCCTGGCAGCCAAGAGAAAATCCTGTCGATCTAAGGGAGCCACCCTCACTGCCAGAATTTTGGGGTTGTTTTCCTTCCAATCTTGTGAAGAGATAGCTGAATCCAAATTACATACAGTGAGCTACACTTGGTGATAAGCACTCTTCCATTTTAAAGAAAAGTACTTTTGTCTGATGCTGTTTAATGGGATATTCCTGCACTTCTGGGATTTCCTTGCCAGTTCACAGTGTCACAACCCCGCTGTTGCCAAGAGAGAGAAGCAGAGCTGCATGGTCCCAGTAACCCCAGCCAAAGACAGGACAGAGGAGTGTTCAGATCTCTGGGGTTTTCCCCTCAAAATGGGGAAGGACAAAGTCCAAACAACTTTCATCCCAGCCAGACGATAACAACGTCTGTGACGCTTCAGCTGCGGAGCCACCATGTCCAGGAGAGTTTGAGACGTGACACCTTTACCTGGAAATGTGACACCCAGCCCACCTGGAGGTGTCGTCCTTCCCCTGCTCAGCTGCACCTTGGGTTCAGGAGGTTCTGTGTCTGTCTGGCACCTCTGGCTCGGGGTGGCCTCCCAGTCCTGTCCTTGGGCTGCTGGAGTTTGCTGGCCACCGTCCCAGTTTGGCTCCTGTGTCACACAAAGCCCAGGCCAGGCTTCTGCTGCTGGTAGAGAATTTGGTTACCAAGTAGAGGGTGGATCTGTCCATTCCTGTGACAATGAACTTGTGTTAGTTTTCTGTGTGGCTGATTTGTTTCCAGATAATTGGAGTCCTCTGAAAAACTCAACTTTTGTGTTTAAGAACTTGTGTAAAACCAGACCTTAGTTTTACACAGATGCATTTCCTGTTTTTTGTGCTCTCATTCCTGTCCCTGTTCTCCCTTCCCTTTTCCCCTTCTGCTATGTTTTACTGGTCTGGTGTTGTCTCTAACTTTATCTGGTTTCTATCTCAGCAGTAAGTAAATTCTATTCCCCTGATAGTACAATGGTGGATATAATATAAACTTCAGAGGATTCTCCAGGGACTAAGAGTGAACCAGTCACCAAAATTGTCTTGGAACTGTTCAGAATGGCAGTGCTATAGCTGAAAAAGCAAGGGCCAGTTTCTGCTCTAGTGTAATTGCATTTTAACCTTCTTGTTACAGTGGACAGTAACAGACCATGAATTGACATTAAGTTTCTTTTTGTGTTAATGAAGAACTGCAGACCTCAGTGTCAGAGTTAAGAAGGAAGGCTTACTCAGACTTGTGTTTCATCTCCACTCATTTGTAAAACAAAATATGTAGCTCTAATAGCAGCTAAGTGAATAAAAATATCTGCATGGTTCTAGAGTCTTCAAAAAAGAATTAAAAAAAAAAAATTAAAACTGACACTGACCTTTCCAGAAGATGGGAAGTATGCACGTGGCAAGAGGCTAATTTACCTTTCTATTTCCCAAATTCAGCATGTCCCAAAATACCATACAGCAAGGAGACAGGCCCTTCTTTCTACTTTGCCAGTGAGTTGGGTTTTTTGTACTAATTTTGATTGTACAGAAAAGCACTTTCTAAAGAACCACATGTTAAAGGAATGGGACCTGTTGAGGGAACAAGTTTCCTTGCACCAAACCAGGATGTGGAAAACGCAGGAAGGTTTCTCTCAGTGGGCAGGAATGGAGATTTATATAATCACAGGAAGCTGAGTTTTTAAATCTTCAAAAATTTATTTTGAATATGGAATAATGTCTCTGACTTCATTACCCAGTCTTTTCATGTGCAGCTGGAAGTGGGCTCTAGAAATCCTTCCCTGTGAGGGTGCTTGAGGCCCTGGCACAGGGTGCCCAGAGAACCTGGGGCTGCTCCATCCTGGAGGTGTCCAAAGCCAGGCTGGATAGGGCTTGGAGCATCTGGGATGGTGGAAGGTGTCCCTGCCATGGCAGGGGGTGGAACTGGATGATCCTGGAGGTCCCTTCCCACCCAAACCACTCAGTGATTCTGTGGCCTCTCTTTAAACCTGTGCGAGCTGCCTTGCTCCCTTTCATGAGCCCAACAGGATTTTTACACCTGATGAGTTCCCAGCTTCCTAAAAGGAGAAGCAACCTTGGGTTTCATCCCTTTTAAAAGCCATGGCTCAAGTTCTGAGTCCCTGGGAGGAAACAACTTGAGCTGTGAGCTGGAGGAAATTTTCTGTAGAGCTGCCACTGAAGGAGTGCTGGGAACAACTTGTGGTGATCATTGTGTGACAGGGATGAGATGAGGGCTCCTTGGGACTTTCTCAGTTCCATTCCCTGGCTCAGGTGGGGCTGTGGTGGCATCACTGGAGGCACTGGGACAGGATCTGGTGCTCTCTGGACACACAGCAGCCTGATCCAGCTCATCCAGGAAAGGCAGAGAGCTGCAAAATCCTGCCTTGTCTGCCCTGCTGCTGTTCAGCAGCTGCTTTGAGGAAGCTGAGGTTTGATTGAGGGGGGTGTTTGCAGGATGAACTCTCACCCAGGACATGGGAAAGGAGGAGTTGCAGTTTCAGGCTGTTTCTGTTCTTGCTCCTGTCCTGCTGTGGCACTTGTTGCTGTGTCTGTCTGTCAGTCTGTGCAGCCCATGCCAGGCACTCTCCTGGTTTGGTTTTTTTTTTTTTTTTGTTGTTTTTTTGCATTAGCTCATGCAAGAGGGATGTGAGAAAAAGCATTTGTTCTCCAAAAATCTCCTCTGGAGCAGGTTTCCTGTGTTTCTTGTGCCACACTGGTTGTGCCTGGGTGGGGGCTGTAGGATGCTGCCCTGGGCTGTGTTCCTGCCCCTTGGTTTGGTGCACTGAAATCACTTCAATCACCTCGTTCCTTTCTTGGATTATCTTTGAAGTCAAGTCCACTCTACCTGTGTAAAATGACTTCTTGAAATGTTTGTGTCATGAAAGAAACATTTGCTATTTCTTTGCTTCCTACCATTCAGGTCTTTTAAATGTAGTTATCCTCACCATCTTACTGGCTCTGGCAGTGGTTTTGAAATTTGTTCACTGGTCAGTTCTTGAAAATAAACTCTTCAGTGCATCTTTGGACCATGACCAACACTGACCACCATTGGCACCACTGAAATTCCAGGGAAAAAAACAAAATTACAAAATGCCACGATGTGGTTTCACATATTCCCTTGTAGCTGGGAGTTTTGCTTGATTTCTGCTGCTCTGACCTCTTCTGATTTCAGCTCCTTCTGTGGCTTCTGTGGCTGACTACTTCTTGTTTGCTCTCAGAAATGGGGTGCAGTTCTGTAGGGTTGCATTCAGTAATTCAATCCCTGTGATGTTTTTCTCCCATCCCGTGACTGAGTCCCTCCCCTCCCCGTGTCCCTGCCAGGTCAGTGCAGTGAAATATCTCACTTTAGAGCCAATTTGATTAGAAAGCTGCAGAAGTGAAGCAGGGCAGCCCAGGCAGAGGAATTTAAGGCATAAAGGCTCAGAAACCCAGTGTATTTGTGCTGGAGAGAGCTGAGGTGACTTGCAGCAAAGTGTGTCCTTTCCTAGAGCTTATTCTCAGATAATAGGTGGCCATTTGAAAAATCTCCAAAATACTGGCAATTGGGGGGAAAGGTTGGATAATGAGTCTTTTATTTTTTTTTTTCACCTCCTGTCTGGTCTTATTTGCTGTTAATTTGTGTAGTGAGCTGTTTTGATGAGCAGGCAAAAATTCCTTTTAAAAATCCCAGGGAAAGTGCTTTAGTTCAGGTGAATTTTTCATGACTTTTACAAGACTCCTTTGACAGCCCTGCTGGTCTCAGAGATTTCATTGGCTTGGCAGGAATTACTTGCACTAACTAAACATGAAAAGCCATTTACACTGCTGGAGTTGGAGTCTGAGCTCTGGTTTTGAGCTGGGAATGCATTTCAGACCTGCTGAGTCGTTCTTGGTTTGTGTGCAGGGACTGGCCAGGATGAGGAGAGGTGCCCAGATAACATTTTTTGAAAGGCATTTTTAATATTACTATTAAAACCTAATTTGCAGCAGCATCTGAAGTGGTTTTAAGCTTTATAAATTTGGTCATTAAGGTGACCTGCTAAAGACAAAATGAAGGAGAGGAGAAATTGAAAATTAAATATTTTCAGTATACAAAAATCCAGTGCTTCAAATCCAAAGCTGTGGATAAAATATTAGGTGGTTTTGGAAGAGCTACCACTATGACAAAAACCTGATCCTCCCCCTGGTTTATATCTGTTCTTTGGGGTGCTATTCCTTGGTTTAAATGGTGTCTTAAGAGAGAAATTCCTTATTGTGACGTTTTATTGCAGAAATATTTCCTTCAGAACAACTGAGTTTATTATTCTCTTGGCCATAAAGAACCAAAACATGAATTGCACAAATGGTTTAATGGAGTCCCACATTATTTTGGGGGCTCTTAACAAGTGATGTGGGAAGCCTTCAGTATCTTACAACCTGGAATTAAATTTCATATACATTTTAAAGCCTCTTGAATGGAGTTAAGTTGTAGTCAGGATTGCTGCCCTTTGGCAAGCAAGTAATCCCTCCTTCCATTTATTTCTATTGCTTTAACAAAGATAATAATTTCTGGCCTTCTTCAGAGTGTGTGTAATAATGAGGTTGAGAAATTATCCTCCTGTAGGAAGCCATAAATTTGGTACTGTAAAAATGATCAGTGTGCATTGATAATTTTGGTGTTGTCGGAGGAGAAATGTCTGAAAGTCAAGTAGGAGCATGGCAGGGATGCTGCTGCAAAATACATTTTAGTAGTGATACCGATAAAAAAAAAATCAAAAATACTTGGATTTAAAGCATAACAAAATGCTGTGGCAGAAGATCCTGCTGGCTTTGACAGCGTGCTTAGAAAATATTGAGGTGTTTTTGAAACCCCTCTCAATCAGGAGGCCTCAGAGTGCACAACTGTGCTTGCACATGTGGATAAGAACATTAGGATCAACTCCAGGCTGCAGGAATTTAGTTCATCTGCATTAATAGCCCGAAACAACTCATCACTGCAAGGCCATTTGCTCAGTGAAGATTTAATAGAGCTTGCCAGGGATTAAGTTAAATGTGGCAGGCAGTTATTTTCTAAAGGAGGAACCTGCACAGGGGAGAAAAACCTCAATTAGGCAAAAATATCCAGGCTCTCTGTATTCTGGTGAGTTGGAATGTGTCAGAACTTGGATTTTTAAGGTTTATAGCAAACCAGACTGGAGGAAAACTGCAGTGGCCATCAAGTTCTTATATAATACCAACCCCATTAAAAAAAATTAAATATATCTATATATAACCTGGTAGATACTCATCAGTAATTAACTTCAGAACCACCAAAAGGCACCAAAACAAATAAGGAACAGTTGGAGGAAATATTAAGGAGCAGGCTGATAATTTTCTTTGGCTGTTTGCTTTTTTTAGCACTTTGTCAGCAAAACTCTCCTTGGTCTTTCAGGCTGTGACATCAGAGGGATTGACACGAGTTGTCACACACAGAAGTAGCTGCAGACAAGGCCTGCTTGTTGCACAAACCTAAAAAAAATAGGGGGAACATCCTCATTTTTAGGGTCCTGCCTTTGCATTGCATGCTTTGTGTTGAAAGGAAGACTTGTTGTCATTATGGCTTTTCATACTTGCTGAGATTCCCTCAAAAGTTTAAAAAAAAAAATAGGATTTAGTGTGGCCCATTTGAAGCAGGACAGAGCAGGATCCAAGAAGGAACTGGGTGTTTGTTGTTGGAGACTGGCACAGCTGTAGCAACAGATGTGGCTTCACTGGGGTAAAACTTTTCTGTTGTTCAGTTTCTTCCTTTTTGGGAATTTTGTACCTTACTTGCTTCTGGTTCAAGGAATGAAGAATTCCATGGCAGTGTTGGGGAGCTCACAGGATGGTGGTGATCCAGAACAGATTGGCCTCGAGGGCAGAGGCAAAATGGGTTATTTTAGCACAAGAAAGTGGCTTCAGCAAAAATTTGATGCTCGAGCAGCCTCAGTTTTGTCAGCTGTGATGTGTTTATTTATTCTGGAGTGCAAGGGCAGAGTTTGTGCTTCCCTCTGACTGTTCTGTGAGCAATTTCCAGAAGAGTAGCATGGTGAGGTTAGCCAGGTATAAGGCCAAAGAAATTTTTTTGGATGGTGGAAATAAAAATGGCTCATAACACCTTTGAAAAGTATATCTCAGGAAATCCTAAATTGTATGAAAATTATAAATTTGATCTGTTTGACAAAACAAAAGATGAAATACTGCTTTTCTCTATGTAGTATCTGTTACATTGTCAAATTAGGAAAGATGAACTGTCTAATTATGGTTGTTTATAGACTTTCCTGCCAAACCAAACTACACAAAAGCAAGGTAAGATCATCAGCTATTTGCAAGATAAATATATATATTGTTTTTTAGAAGGGGGAGGGAATATATTTACACATTGAGCTGTAGTGAAATCTTCGAGTGCAGCTGGTGATTTGATAGAGGTGCATGTCCTGTGCCTGGTGTTAAATATTCCTCTTTTTCATCCTAGTTTCCACTGGCTCACTTGCTCAGCAGTATGCCCACCCTAATGCTACCCTGCACCCGCATCCTCCTCATCCCCAGCCTTCTGCCACCCCAACTGGCCAGCAGCAAAGCCAACATGCTGGAAGCCACCCTGCTCCAAGCCCCGTGCAGGTAACACAGCCCTGAGTGGCTGCAGATTGTGTTGAAGGGATTGCTTGATGTTGTGCTTGTGTTGATGTGTTGATTTCTCTGAGGGGGAAAAGGGGAGGATGGAGCAGAGTCCAAGCACTCATTTCTCCCTGTTCACAGGGCATGGGGGATGTTTCAGTTTAAGGATTAAGGAAGGATCATAATTGTGTCAGTGCTTTCATATGAGAGAAGTGGAAATAGCAGATAAACGCTGAGAAGTGTTTGATTGGATTTTGTCAAAGCAGCTGAAAACAAAGTAGTCCTTGGATAGTGCTGCATTCCTTAATTCCCTCCTGGGAATAACTGAGGTACTCCCAACTGCAGGTTCTGCCTGGTTTTACCTGGCAGTCTGGGTTCTGTGTGCCAGCAGAAGCTGAGCCTGGTGGGTGTGACAGTGTTCACAGGGGTTTTTGGATGAGGGAAGAGATGGAGATCTGACTCCGTGTTACAGAAGGCTTCATTTATTATTTTATGATATATATTACATTAAAACTATACTCAAAGAATAGAAGAAAAGGTTTCATCAGAAGGCTAGCTAAGCTAAGAATAGAAAGGAATGATAACAAAGGCAGCTGTCTTGGACTCTCCATCTGAGCCAGCTGGGCTGTGATTGGCCATTAATTAGAAACAACCACATGAGACCAATCACAGATGCACCTGTTGCATTCCACAGCAGCAGATAACCATTGTTTACATTTTGTTCCTGAGGCCTCTCAGCTTCTCAGGAGGAAAAATCCTAAGGAAAGGATTTTTCATGAAAAGATGCCTGCGACAGGTGGGGTTGTAAAGAGTTCCCCCACGAGCACAGCTCATCCTTACATTCACCATTTCCAAATTCAGAATTAAGAGCAGTTTCCCACCCCTTTCTCCTTAACAGAATCAATACAATTCCTCAGCCCTAACCTAAATAATTTTTGTGTTTTCTTGCAGCACCACCAGCACCAGGCTGCCCAGGCCCTGCACCTGGCCAACCCCCAGCAGCAGTCGGCGATTTACCACGCAGGTCTAGCTCCAACCCCTCCTTCCATGACGCCAGGCTCCAACACGCAGTCTCCACAAAACAATTTTCCTACAGCACAACAAACAGTCTTCACCATTCATCCCTCCCATGTTCAACCTGCATATACCAATCCGCCACACATGGCCCATGTCCCCCAGGTAAACACAGTTTAACAACCTTCAAGACTTAAATGTCTTAATGCCACAAAAGTTAGGACAGTCGGGCCTGCTGAAGTGATTGCCAATCTGTCACCTCTCAGCACAGACTTACCTGTTGTTGTTATTTAGGTTTCTGTCTGTACATTGCCTTTTATTTAGAATTTTGACAAGGTGTACTTGGACCTCAGCTTCCAACACCTAGTGCATCTGCAACTGTAGTTTAATGAAGACATCTTAAGCTGGCACTGCTACTGAAATAAATTGAGCTCTCTTCCCAATTCCTGGCTCCCATCCTTGTCCCTGCCCCACCACTCTGCTCACAGAACTGCTTGGCCGTGGAGCAGAGCAGGCTGGGGACACAATTCAGCTGAAATGTGCCTCCCCTACCCCCTTTTTAGGCTATTTCTTGGTCAGATCAGTTCCCTGCTCAGTCAGGTGCCTGATCCCAGGAAGAGCTGGCATACAGAAAGGTTGGAGGTGGGAGGTGAGTGCAGAAAGGCTGAATTGCTGCTTTTGGTGGCAGTTTCAGGCTCTGCATTGTAGACAAATTTTATACAAATACATCCAGAAAAGGACATGAGAGGATTTCCAGGGAGAAGCAAGGCAGTGCAAGGGAGAGAGGAGAGAGTTAAGGTGACTGCAGGACAATCCTTGCAGAAAGAAGCCTCTGTGTGTGTGGTGTGAGTGTGGTTCTAAATGAACTGCTTGTGCTGAAGCTCCCCAAAGATTGTTGGCTAACCTAAAACAACAGTCTTTGCTTCAGAATCAGAAACCCACTTCTCTTAAATGCTCCCTCGTGGTCAGCTCCCTGAGAAAAAGGATTTGGGGAAGGGAAGCACATGATAGATTAATCAGGAGCTCCATGTGTAAAGCAGTGTGACACAGATTTTCTGATGTTTACTAAATCTCCTGGATTTAGTGCCCTTTGTCAAGGAATGGGCAGTTCAATCAATAATTTGCCTGCACAATTTTTTCTTCAGACCAAAAACTTGGTGTCTGGTTTCTGCCTTCTCCTACAGGTTAACAATAGTTTGGGATAAGGTGACTAACTGTGATTAGGGATGTTAATCTGTTAATCTGACAGCTGTCCAGTCCCTTGCAGAATTCTGATAAAATCTTTGCTTTGGTCCCTGGGACAGTCAGTTAAGCCAATAAATCAATAGTTCTGTAGGAATCCTTTCACTGATGTGGAGTTTTTAGCTTTTTGATTCTCTTAGGCTTTTGATTTCTCTGCTTTTTTTTTGGCGGGGGGGAAGGATAAGGAGAGGATGGCCAGAGCTGATGATTGCTGTGGCATCTTGGCTCATCCTCCCCTTCTCTGGTTTCTGCCAGAAACAAGACTCCTGCTCTGCTCTGGTGTGAAGGCACTGCTGTGAATGCCTGGGTTGTGTTTAGAGCTTCTCAGAGGGGTCTTGGCTTAGTGGCATGTCCAGTGCTGTGATTTGAAACGTGAAACATTTGCTTGAAGGCCATGAAAGGGTAAAGCTGTGCCTGAGCTGTGCCCTGGCCAGGCCAGGGGTGTGCAGGATGTGACCATTGCCTTCCTTTCTGTGTGCCAAGCAAACCAAATGAAACAAATCAGATGCAACTTGGAGTCAGAACTGACTGCTCAGGCAGCATTTTTAGCAATCACAGACAAGGCCTGCCTTGCCCTTGATTTTAACTTGTGCAGTCTCTTCTGCAATTTTTTAAGAATGAAAGCTGCAATTCGTGGTATTTACACCAAACTAATTGACTTTCCCAATGAAGTAGTTCCCTCAAAAATCTCTAGTGAAGGCATAACTACAGTTCTGTCAGAAATTTTAAATGCATGTAATTATTCCATCGTGGGGAAACTAATCACTGGATTTAATCATTTTTTAGCAGCCTCATTCCCAGCTTCTAAACACAATTCTGAAATACCACGTAGTAAAAATTTCAGTTAGGCCAACACAGGGGATCAATCCAATTTCCCTTCAGGTTATCAGATGAATCTTGAGCTGGTGGATATCTCACTTGAGAAGCAGTACTTTAAAATTCATTAGAGAGTGCAGTCAGCTGCCAATTTGCAAAATGTTTGAGCCACAGCAGAAAAATTTTATCCACTGTGTGTATTGACTCCAGCTGCTCTATGAATAGCTGCTTTATAATGATGGCTTCTACAATAGCATGTTTGTCAAAGTCAACGTGGAGCCAGTCCTGGGAGGTATTTCTGTTCCACAGCCTGATCTCCTAAAGCTTTTTTAGAGCAAGAGTGAGATTTGAATTGCAGTTCCTGCCTTTAAAGGCTTCTGGGGTGCTACTAACACGTGCAAGTCTGATCAAAGAGTTTGGGGAATGTCTGTGATGAGTCAAGTAACCCTTTTTGTCTTTAAGAAATAAAATTCTAGCCACTACCTGCTATTTGTCTTTACTGGCATGGGAGACCTGTGAGGCTGCAGTGCTGGGATATGGTAGAAGGACAAAGCAAACCTTAGGTACAAATGATGGGGTTTTGGGGCTGCTTTTTTTTTTCCCCAGGAGAAATCCACCGAGAGCTCTGAGTTCCTTTGTGCTTTTAAGAAATGAATGTTTGCTAGGTTTTTAAATAAAATAAATTGATGACCTCTAGAGACATGAACTGCTCTGAGCTAAAGAACCCACCAAGTTCCTGAAGTTGTTTGCCAGAGGTGATCAGCCATGGGAAGGAATAATCTCCTTTTCCACTGAGACTTAGCCCTGATTGCTCAGATTACACAAGAACTGCGATGAGCTGAACTGGAAGCAGAACAAAGCTGCCCTGAGAGTGTGAAGGGATGAAATCACTCGTGTCAGGAGGACTTGGCTGAGCACTGTGTGGGCACAGGTCACTGGAGAGGACAGGGAGGTTCCCAGGGCAGGGAGCCAGCACAGAACGTGGGGTTGTGCAAGGAGAGAGCTGGGGAAGGGATGCCAGACTCCCAGTGCCTGTGAAGTTCCTATCTGTACCCTCTAGGAAGTGCTTTGATCTAAGGTGTCTAACAGAAATGTTTTGAAGATTTGTTGCTGAATTGTTTTTTATTTTTTTAATACCCCCCTTGTTTAATGCTGGCAAAATGGCTAAAATTGAGAACGCAACTCAGAGCCAGCAGTAAGGAGCGCTTTTTTAATTATTATTTTTCCTTTTTGTTGTTATTATTATTAATTTTTTTTGTGTTCCAACTTCTGCCTTAATCCCTAGTTTAAAAGAAAATAAAGAAAAAATTAAAAAAAAAAAATCAAATAAATGAAGAGTAAACCTTTGCTGACGGAGCAAACTTTCGCCAGTCATGTGGCCAGGAGTTGCTGCCTCCTTGTGACCATGATACTAAAGAGCTCTTTGTTTCAGGCTCATGTACAGTCAGGAATGGTTCCTTCTCACCCAACTGCCCATGCTCCAATGATGCTAATGACGACACAGCCTCCCGGTGGTCCCCAAGCCGCCCTCGCTCAAAGTGCACTACAGCCCATTCCAGTCTCGACAACAACACATTTCCCCTATATGACCCACCCTTCAGGTGAGGAGTGTGTGCCTGGGAGACCTGCACCCTAACTGAGCCAGGTCGAGGAGTGAGGACTGGGAGAAACCAGATCTTTGGGGAAAAAAATTAAAAAATAATAATTAAAAAAAAAAAAAACGACAAAGAAAACCAACCGACCTTAAGATGTCCTTGTGTTTCACAGCTGTGCTTTGGCAGCCTGGAGGAGCGCAGGTTTAGCTGAGATGTACCTAATTCAGGGAATATTCCTGATTTTTCTCTATCTGGAGTAGAGGAATGAGGAGTGTGAGGCCCTGGCACTGTGGGACTGAGTTTTCCGTGGATTTGCCGTGGGGGATGGACTGTGTGCAGTTTATAATGATCAGAGGTTGGATTAAATCTTGAGGACAGCAGTGAAATGTTGTGTGGGGGTAGGGCTGTGCTAGGCTGCTGTTAAAGTAAAGTGACAACTGAAATCTAAACTTTAATTCAGAGTAACATTCTGCAGCTTTGCTTTGGGGGAAAAGTAGGAGTTGTGTGACTTCTTTCCGCTTTAAATTTAACCTTATTTAGGTTTCTTTGGTTATTCAAGTTCAAACAGCCTCTGAACTTCTGTAGTGATTTAGTTTTACCTGATGTTTCTTGGGGAATGTGTGAGCAGAACAAAGCTGCTTTCTGAGGGCTTAGGTAGGAAAAAAGAAAAAAAATAAAACATCCCAAGGACATCTTGATGTGCAGGGTTTTGTTTTGTTCTCTAAAAAAAATAAAAGAAAATGAGAAAAAAATAAAAATAAAAGAAAGTTGAGCTCAGTAGTTGTCCTGTGACCACTTTACTAGCAAACTGTTGTGTGGCTTGCCAATTTATTATTTACATTTGAACTTTTTTTTTACAGTACAAGCCCACCACCAACAGCAGTTGTAAGGCTCATCTGGAATAACTGAAAGGCTGGATACCTTTTGTAGGCCAAATACCCTCCTTCTACTGCTTCTGCCAACTGGAAGCACAGAAAACTAGAATTTCATTTTATTTTGTTTAAAAAAAAAAAAAATTTTTGATTTCTTGTAACATCCACTAGGAATGCTAACAGTTCATCTTGCAGTGGGAGAGATTCGGACTGAGTAGAGGCATTTAGGAACTTGTGGGCTATTCCATAATTCCATGCACTGTATCTGAGTCCTGCAAGTGCCCCAACTCTGCTTGCTGAAAAACTGGAAGTTATTTATTTTTTAATGACCCTTCAAAGTTATGAACTCGTCAGCTAGCAAAAGAAGTAACAAGAGTGATTCTTGCTGCTATTATCACTAAAAATCAAGACTTGGAGATCCCTTTTACTTCTAACTAAACTTGAAACAGGTTCAGTAAAAAAAAAAAAAAATTCTAATCGTCAAACGGATGAGTTATTATTTATAAATCACGTTTGATGAGATAATCACTATCGTGAGACAGTGATGTAACTTTTAAGTTAAGAAAACTTTTACTTTGTAGATAATATAAAATAAAAACTTAAAAAAAAAATTAAAAAATAAAAAAAGTTTTAAAAACTGACCCTCCTCGGTGTTTGTGTGGTGATTTTTGGGTCTCTTCTCCTACCAATCCCAGCTGGAGCCAGGGTTTGAGCCTGAGTCTGTTGTGTGCTGCAGGGGCATGGCAGGAATAAGGGAAAGGTTTGGGAATCCCAAATTCAGCTGTTTTCTAACGAGGTTTTGTGTCCAGGTGATTTTGTGTTGCTGATCCCTCAGCCTTGAGCTGCTCCACACAGGGTTGGGAAAGGTCCCAAATGGGCCTTTAAGGTGATGGAAGTATAAAAATCAGTGATGCTGCTGGAGAAGGAAAGGAAAGGTAAGAATTCCCTGGGAAAACACCTTAAAAAATGGGGAGATAAAGTTATCCCTGCTCCACGTGCCCTGTCCTGTTGCAGGCATCATCCCATAGAGATAAACCAAAGGATTTTCATGTCCAGGAGAGCATTCCTGCCTTTTAGCACCCAGTATCCACTAAAACAATGTCCAGGCACCTGGAGAGAACCAGACTGAAGACTACAAGTGAGAAACAAGTTCTAAAAACAGTTTATTAAGAGCAGATTTTTTTATTTTAATATTATGGTAAAATCGCATTATTCAAGAATAAGTTACTTGTACAGTACATACAGAAACAATATATAGAAAAAAATTTACTATACAAGAAGAACTTTTCTGTGCAGGTGAAAAGTAGAACTTTCAAATTAATACACTCCCAACAAAATTGTTGGCTTTAATCGTCCTGCTGAAGGCTGAGTTAGGGAACGCAGAGTCACCTCCCTGCCTTTGGGAGCTGCTGGGGAATGTTGGAGCTGTTGGGATCAAAGCTAAAAGTTTGGAATGCTGGATGACACCAGGCTTTGGTGGTCCAGATGAGGAATGAGAAGTTTGGCTTCTCCCTGGGTGTTTTCCTAGAAGTTTCACCCCGAAATAGCTTCAATCCAAAGGGGTGGGTGAGGAGTGGGGGTGTCAGTGTTCGGTACCTGCTGGGCTGGGAGGGAGGGAGGGAAACATCCACTAATGCTTCATGTCAGGAGCTCCTTCAGAACCTGACACCCCTGGGGACACAAAGGCCACCAAGCAGCAAACAGCAAGAGGAAGAGGAGGGGGAGGAATTCTGGCAGGACCCAATTTCAGATTGTGCCCTGAACCAAGTCCCTGCTGTGCCAGACCAAAGGCACTGCCTGGTTTTCATTTTTATTGCTCAAAACTGTCCTGTGTAGCTGGATGAAACAGGGCTGCCCACCCCCAGCCCCTCCAGGGGGACACCTTAGGGCAGGGCCAGCTCCAAGAGCTGCTCCTGTGGCTCCTGCCTTCCTTAGGTGGGATCCAAACTCATGTTCCATGTGCCCATCTCCAGGGCCAAGGCACAAACTGCTCCCTTCGCCTGACCAGGGGCCACCTGCCCTTGGCTTCCCCTCCTCCCAAAACTCCCACAAATGCCAGTAAAAACCCACAGGGACTGGGGAACCAAACCTGCCCAGCCCTGGGCTCTTCTCTCAAGCCACAAGAACATAAAAATCCTGCAAAAAATGCTTCAATTCCATAGGGTGGAATGGCTTTAATGCTGTTTGCCCACTGCTGTAATGCAGAGGAGCGAGTACCTGAGGGCTGCAGTAACGTGCTGGCAGGAGCAGAGCTCTGACCTGTGTCACAAGCCAGATGTTTTCTAGGAGAAACGAGATTTCAAACTCAGCTCCCCCTGGGAGCTTGGGAAATAGCCCAAAAATCCCCTGCAATGGATGTGAAATGAGGAGCTGGTGGGGCTGGCAGGGCTGGACAGCCCTCGGCTGCCTGTGGGTGAGTTTGGGGATGGAATCAGTTCAATAATTATTAAATTAAATAATCAGAGGGACTCTCCCACTGCTCACTGGTGGGGAGAACAGGAGTTCTCCCCCACTGGAGTTTGTTTGCATGGGGGAAGTGGCTGGCAGGGAGATAATGAACCCAACGTGTATTTTACTAATCAAGCACAGCAATTTCCATTGAAACTGCGGAGAACCCCCTTGTAATTAAACTGCAGGTTAAAAATACCACATGCACACGCATGTTTCAGTTCTGGCACTGGAACAATAAAGTCCTGGCGTGCCAAAACAACCCACCCCAGCAGCATCTGATTTATCTGGCAAGGATTTCTCTGGATTCATCTGGCAGGGGATGTGAATAGCGCTGCCTTTTCCCAGCCCGTCCTTTCTTTGCAGATGTCGGGAGATCTGGGTGATTCCACCTCGCCTTTTGGGGGAAAACCCCTTTGCGCACAGGGGTTTGAGCTCAGTGGGACTAAAACCAGCAATCTCAGCAAGATTTAGCACACCCCTGTGTTCTCCAAGGCTTTGGCAAGCAGGCAGCCAGCGAGGAAAGGAAACGACAACTTGTGCTGCGCCGTCCCCCCTTCCCTTCCTCATCCCCATAAATGCAAGAGCACGGGGAGTTATTTATGAGCCTGGGAGGGAGCTGCCTTGCCTGGCACAAGGCAGCCCTGGGGATGTGCTCCTGCCTCTGGCTGCAGCCTTTGTGCTGCTCCAGGGAGGAGAATGGGATGCGGATACAGCTGAGGAGCCCGGCGAGGACAGGGCTGCCTTTGTTCCTGCATCAGCCTCTCCGGGGCTGGCACTGCTGCAGGACCAGGGCAATTTGCTCTTAATGCTCCAGTTTCAGGCACAAGTGTAGAGAAAGCAGGGGGGAAAAAAAGCCTTTGCCTGCTCTAAATGCACAAAGCCCAGGAGAGAGCAAGAGCAAGCAACGGGGAGGCACAAAAGGAAAACCTAAATGGTTTCTCCAGTTGATGGTTCCCAGCCTCACAGTTTGATTTATAAACCCACATTTGCTCTCATGGCTGCTTCCTGGGCTGTTTGCCTTTCATCTCCTGTCCTTGTCTCCTTGAACCTGCAAAACCCTGTCCTAGAGGCTGGGTTTTTGTGCAATTCCCTAACTCAGCCCAACGAGGCTTTTGTGTTTGCTGGTTTGCAAATTAATTGCTAAATGTTAATGCTCCTGAGGGCTCCCACCTGTATTGCAATTTTAAGGAAAACAGGAATTAAAAAAGCTTTCTGTAAGGCAATCTCAAGGCAAGTTTTGCATCCAAAATCCCAGGGAAGGCTGTGCTGGGAAATCTGGAAGTTGAACACTGTGAACATCCCCTCCTGTGTGGCGCAACAGCTCCAGCCCTTCCTCTTTCCTAAAATAAAGGCAACTTCTCAGAAGTGCTTCCTCTCTCACGGCTGCCCCAGGCAGGTGAAGCAGCCCAGGGGGCTCAGGAACAGCAGCAGAGTTTGGGGACAGTTGGGGGCCAGGGGATGCTGAGACCCAGGGATTTGGACCCCAAATTTGGTCCCCAGGGACCCCCATCGCCTGCAAGAGGCTGTGGTGGGGCTTTAAATGCCACCAAGCTCCTGGTTACAGGTTTTGGGGGGAAAAAGGCAAGAAAGAGTAGGGGAAAACTGACTTTAGATTTGTGCCTAAAACCACTGGGATAAAATGGTTCCATCACTGGGATAAAACTGTTCCATCACCAGGACAAAAACGCCTCCATCTCCAGGATAAAAACCCATTCACCACAGGGATAAAAAAGCCTCCATCACCAGGATACAAGGGGATAAACCCCTCCCTCACCAGCAGGAGAGGTTTGTGTCAGTCTCTGTGTTAGTTCTCAGCTGGTGCCATGGCTAAGGATGGAGCAATTAGTGTTCAGTCTCAATCAGCTGGGAGAGCAGGGTGAGGATCCCTCTGCCTGGCAGTGACCAGGGCTGTGCTGGTTAAAAAGGAAAAGCAAGAAAAAGCCAGTTTCTGCCTTAGCCATAAAAAAAAAAAAGCCCAAACCCTGCTCAGGTCAGGCTTTGCTGGTGGGTTCAGCAGCCAGGGCAGGAGGATGAGGCCTGGAGCAGCAACTTGGCAATGGATTTATAGTAATTCTTTTCTTGTTATCCTGGGTTTTTTTTAACTTCCTCCAATTCCGTGGGTGGAACACAAGCCCCTGGTTCCTTGGCTGGGCTCTGGGGTGTCAGGGACAGGCAGGACACCGGGCCCAGGGCAGGCACAAGTGGCATTGTGTAAACAGTAACGAGAAAGCTTCCATAAGAACAACAAAAAACAACAATAAGAGGCCCTTCAACAGGCCAACGAGAGGGAGCACACCCGTACAGGAGTGAAAAATTACCCCCTTCCCCTTCCAAAAAAAAAAAAAAATACAATAATAATCCCTAACCAGAAGGAAGAAACAGGTACATTCTTTCTCTCGATGGATCCCCCAGAAGGTCTCCAGGATTTCTCCACCCGAAAGTGCATCCCAGTGCCGGCCGTGCTGCTCACAGGGGCGTGTACTGGTTGTCGATGGCACGGACGTGGCCCCTGCCCGGTGCCTCCACCTCATAGTCCGAGTCGCGGGGCCGGGCCGCGGTGGCCACGGTGGCCCTGGCCGGGCGCAGGCTCTGTGCCAGCTCGGCCGGCGGTGGCACCAGGTGGAAGATCTGCTCCGCTGGGGGACCCCCGGGGGGCTCATCGGGGCCGTGAGGGCAGGAGGAGCTGGCGGGGACGAGGCTGAACTCAGGGCTCCAGCCTGGGAAGGGCAGGGGGAGAGGGACTGTGGTGGTGCTGGAGCCGGGAGCTGCGGGCAGAGAGAGGAGGTGATGGTCAGGGGGATGCTCCTGTCACCCCCTCTCTGGGGCTGTGGGGTGCATCCCATGACCCAGCTCCCCAAATGGTGGCTGGGAGCAGCTTCTCCTTTCTCAGAAGGGGAAGTTGGGAGCTTGGGAGTCACCTTTTGTGCCACTGCCACGAGGCTTCCGCTTCCCCACTCCAGGAGCAACCAAAGGGCCTGGGGCTGGCACCCACAGGCAACGTGGGTACCCTCCATCCCTGCATCCCGGGAGAACATCCCCTTCCCTTCCTGCACACTTTGTATCCCACAGGAACATCCTCCTTCCCTTCTTGAGCACCTTGTGTCCCACAGGAACATCCCCTTTCCCTTCCTGAATACCTTGAGTCCCATGGGAACATCCCCCTTCCCTTCCCTTCCCTTCCCTTCCCTTCCCTTCCCTTCCCTTCCCTTCCCCCCTGTGTCCCACAGGAACATCCCCATTCCTGCACACCCTGTGTCCCACAGGAACATCCCCATTCCTGCACACCCTGTGTCCCACAGGAACACCCCCATTCCCTCCCCACACACCTTGTGCCTGTGGCAGCACCACGACGTAGCTGGAGAGCCGCACGTCGCAGGCGGAGCCGCACTCCAGCGGGATGGGGTAGCGGTGGAAGTGCTGCAGCATCTCCACGATGGAGGAGAAGCGCAGGTGCTGCACCCGGCACTGGCCCCGCTCCGTCAGCGCCAGCCTCAGGTGCTGTGGAGAGAGGCAGGGACCTGTCACCCTCCCTGTCACCCTCCCTGCATCCCCTCCTGGAGGGCACGGTGGGGATATTTGGGATGGGGGACACGCCGATGTGCTGCATCCCCAGCCTGCGCCTCCCTGGTCGGGGCAGAGAGCAGCAGAGCATCTCCCTGGGGTGGGATGCAGCGGGACAGGAGCTGTCCTGCCCCTGTGAGATTCCCCCTCCCCATGCCAGCCCCGTCCCGCCCATACCTTGGCTCTGCCCTGGAAGTTGAAGGTGAGCACGTACTCGCCGCGGCGCGTCTCGCTCTGCCGCACCAGGAACACGCCGTGGCCCTCCAGCCCCCCCAGCTGCACCAGCTGAGCCGCCTTCACGCGGGAGATGGGCCCGTGGAACCAGGGGCAGGAGGAGAGGAACTGCTCCATCTTCGGCCCCGCCGCCTCCCCCGGGCCCCCCGGAGTCGCCCCTGCCAGGCACAGGGATGAGTGGCCCTGGGAAATGGGGTCCCTGCCCGTCCCTTCCCCTCTGTCCCCTCCCCTTGTGCCATTTGGGGAAGGCCAATCAGCCCAGCCATGGCAGGATGTGGTGGCCCCCCAGTGAGGGATGCGCTGTCCCCAGGGTCCCCTGGGTGTCCCCAGCTCACCTTGGCTGACGGGGTCGGTGCTGGTGGCGGGGCTGGCGGCCGTAGGCTCGGGGTGTCGGCACGTCAGGAGCTCAGGGTCACCCGTGTCAGACCTGCTGGGGACAGGAGAGGCCAGGCTGAGTGCTGGCACTGGGGACACAGAGCCGCCGTCCCCAGCCCCAGGGACATCCAGCAGTGCTTACCCCCTGTGCACACACTCCCGGATCTCGGCCGTCCAGCAGCTGAGCTGCTGCTCATCCCCTGCCTCAAACAGGATGTCGGTGGCATTGGTGACCTGGGGGACATCAGAGAGGTCTTCAGAGACAGAGATGTGCATCCCCCACCCACCCACACTCGGGACCCCAGCAGGGACAGCTCATCCCCCACCCTGCACTCCACATCCCCTGTGCATCCCCTCCCGGATGGGAAGAGGAACTGAAACTTGGCACGGGAGCTTTTGGGAGCCACATGTGCCCCAGGGGGTGGGAAAGGCCTCGGGGGTGGCTGCAGACCCTTCCAGCAGGTCCTACCTTGAGGACAAAGGTGTGGAGGTTATCGGGCATCTCCAGGCGTGTGCACCTCCGCACCTCCTGCACGGCGGAGCAGGCCACGAGCAGCTTGGGCTTGGAGCCCTGTGGGGGGAACACAGAGCCTGAGCTGAGCCCCAACTCCCCCACACCCCAAAATACTCCCCCACATCCCAAAACACCGCCCCACATCCTAAAACATTGACCCACACTACACTGCTCTACCCAGTCCAGGAGCCACACAAGGCACAGCAGCCAGCAAGGAAACACCCTAGGGAAAGGGAAATACCCCAGCAGCAAGAAATACCCTGTGTGGTGAGGAAATACCCCATTGTGGCAAGGAAATACCCCCCCAAAACACTGCCCAGTCACTGTGGGGGCACCCCAGGGGGACTGAGTGACATCCAGACCCATCCCAGGGGTCCCAAGGAGGAGAGGAGGGAGAAGGGGGTTGCCAGCATGGCAGCACGTCCCAGGGATGTGGCACCAATGGGGAAATTGGGGTGCAGGCAGGGAACATCCTGCTCGTGGCTGAGAGGGTCAGTGGCCTGCCAAAAGCTCCCTGGTGGCTTTGGCACCGACACAGGCACGTGACAAAATGCTGAGCAAGCACTTCCACAAAGGCTAAAATATCCCTGCGGCAGCTTTCGGTTCCTCAGGAGGCTGCGGCACGTGGCACAGGATCCGGGGTGCCAGGGGGGCAAGAATTCCCTGAATTGGGCAAAAAAATCACCCAGTGGTGCTGGGTGATGGAGCCAAGGGTCTGTGCTCAGCCCCACGGCCAGAGCCACCCTGTGCATCCTGGCAATGCCCAGGCAGTGCCACCACGTGCCAGACCCTCTCACCTCCCTGTGCCAGGCTTGCTGCACCACAACATTTTGGGCTGGCTGTGATTCACACAACGGCTTCATCACCCCACGGGATGCTGGTTCCAGCGTCCCTCCTCACCCACACTGTCCCTACACAGTGACAGCGTCCCTACACCCTGGGCTGTGGCACTTCATCCCACAACAGAACTGCCAACAAAACTGCCCAAATTCCAAGTTCCAAGCTCACAGCAAACCCACCCCAACCACCTGTATGACACTCAGAACGTCCCCACCGGACACTTCCTCGGTCACCCAACCACACCATCTTTAGCTTTGCTGCTTTTTTTTTGCTTTTTTTTTCCGTCCCCCCTCCTTCCTCCCTCCCTCCCTCCCTCGAGCACTCGGTGTTCTCTGGGGCCGGAAACGCAGTGCGAGAGGGATCAGCCCTTATCAGCTCCGAGCTGCACCGAGAAGAAAGTTCTTAGAAGTCGCTCGCGTACGGCGTCATGCACGGGGCTGGTGACACCGCGGTGGCTCCGGCAGCCCCGGGCCCGCTGGTGACAGTGATTGCAGCTGTGCTGCGCTGCAATCACTGTCACTGGGCTGCCGTGGGGCGCCGCCGCCGCTTTATCCCGAAGGAATTCGATTTTTCTGCCACCTTTGGAACGTAACCGTGCCCCGTGCAAAGTCCTGTGTGTGGAGAAGGTGACAGGATCTCTCTGGTCCTGGCCACTTTCCCACACAAGGAGCTGTGACGTCCAGCGTGACCCTGAGAGGGTTTTATCAACATCCCAACCACAGCGCTCGGGGTCGGCTTCTCAGGAATCGGAGAAATTCCAGGAAAAGGGAGTTCGGCGAAGCCCCCCGCGTCTCTCAGCACGGGGAGCGCAGCTGGAGCGTGGAGGGAGAAGGAAATGATGCAGCACAGAGATTAGGGTGCCCAAAAACCAGGCTGGCTTCGGGGAAGTGCCTGCCGCAGGCACGGTGCCCCCGCTGCCGCACCTGACCGCAAGATGCCCGGCGCGATGCGGCCGCTACCGGGAAAGGGAGTTCTCAGTAAGCAAAAGTGCACACTCAACACACCAGGGGTTCACCCACGGGCTCCTTCTCGGCAAGAGGTGCCCCAGCAGCGCTGCAGGGATGGGTAAAGCCAGCTGCCGCCTGGCTCTGGGTGCTCAGGATGTTACAGGTGTTGCTCCACTTTAGCCTCAAACTCTACCAGTATCAGCTTCCCCACTGAGTCTCCAGCAAGGATATTTGGGATTGGTGGTGGTTTTCACAGCAAAGCTCCTCCCAGCTCGCCCAAATGTGCCAGGAACGCTGTCCCCAAGAGCTGTGAGCTGCTGCCATAAGGAGCACATCCTGCCTGGGTGCTCAGAGGACACTGAGGGTGCCGGGGGAGCTTTTCCCATTGGGGGGAAAGGTGGCTCTCCAAGAACGAGAGTGGCACGATGACGACAGCGGTGGCAATGTCTTGGTGATGATGGCAGTAGGGCAGTGATGAGGGTGGTGGTCTGGCAGTGGTGGCACAAAGATGACAACAGCAATGACAGCAGTGTCGTGGTGATAGCGGCAGTGGCAGAGTGATGATAACGGTGGCACGATGACGACGGTGGCACGGTGATGACGGCAGTGGCACGGTGATGATGGCACTGACAGTAATGACGACAGTGGCATGGCGATGATGGCATTGTCACAGTGATGATGGCAGTGGCACAGTGATGATGGCAGTGGTTGGGCCATCAGGCCAATTGCATGCAGAGCAAATCCTTCGAGAGCAGCAGGAGCTGCCCCCGGCCCCTCCACGCTCCAGGGGTTTCCCCAGGCCGGCTCTCGGCTCTCGCTTCCACTCTGAGTCACCCACGGGAGGTGGGGAAGTGCCTGAGCCCTTGTGCAAGGTCCCCAACGGATACGGGCGAGATTTGTCACTTCTTGTAAATCACTGTGGCCCTTACGCAAGGGACAAACCTCAGCCAAGCTGCAGGGCCAGGCCTGGCCATGCTGGATGGACACACAACCATATCCTGTGCCTGCAGCCCTGGGGAAGCTGTGAAGTTTTCCAGGAGCGTAGGTACACACAGCTCTTTTCCAGGGAACACTGAGTGAACTGGGTGGGAAACATCCCCTGGTGCCAGGGCAGGGCAGGGGGAGGCAGCAGGGCCCTGCAGGGCTCCAAGGGGTCTGTTGGAGCCATCATCCTCAGGAGTTTGCACCAAGGGTAATCCCAGCCTTCATGCTCGGGGATTTTGGGTGGCAGGAAATCCCACAGGTGGTTTCCCTTGGGAGTTAAACCCAAGGCTCATCCTTGAGGACTTGTGCACCATAGATAATCCCAAAATGTGTCCTCAGGGTTTTGCACCAGAGCTAATCCTGGTGTTCATCCTCAGGGATCTGCACCGTGGCTAACTCTGGTGTTCATCCTCAGGGATCTGGAGCCGACTAATCCCTCTCTCCAGCAGCTAATCCCAGTGCTCTGGGGGAGCTGACAGCACAGTTAATCCCAGTGCTGTTCCTCAGGTGTTTGCACCACAGCTCACCCCAAGGGCAGAGATCCACCCTGGACGGCCCCTGCCAATGCTGGTTTTTGGGACAGGCACTGGAATCCCATTGATTTGTGCCTGCTGCAGGGACCCCTAGCTCAGGGTGACATTCCCAAAACATTCCTGCCTCTCTGCAGGTGCAGAATGCTCACTTAGAAACCTGACAGCAGCGAGCACCACCCTGGGCTCTGTTCTGCATTTGGGGAACTGGAGCCTGGACTGTCAAACAGGAACATGGGAGGTGATTCCCGCTGCTGTGCGAGCTCAGCATCCCCCACCCAAAAATCCCCAAACCCCTCCAGCATCCTCCACCCACCCCCCACAAAGGAGCCCCCAGGACACGGTGTCTCGGAGCATCCCGCGGGCTGGGCAGGGACAGCGCTGTCCCCAGCGGTGACAAGGGACACCGTTGTGCTGGCCCTGCCACAAAGATCCCTCTGTTCCCTCTGGGCAAACGGCAAAGGGGGAAAGCACAGCCCCGACCCCAGCCCCCATCTCCTGCTGGATTCACCCGGGGGGCTGCAAAACAGAGCCCCAAAACCGCGGGGGGAGGCTGGGGGTGGGATTTGGGGGGTGCTGGAACCCCCACCCATCCCTGGATGGTGTTCATGGATCATCTGTTCATTGACCTGTTCATTGGTCATCCTCCCTGCTCTGCTTGAATGAGCCAACGTTCCCAAACTCCCCAAATCTCTGCAAAGCCCCCCCAAAACCCTGCAAACCTCCTCAAAAACCCTGTAAAGCTCCCCAAAACCCTGCAAAGCTCCCCAAAACCCTGTGAAACACCCAAAACCCTACAAACCTCCCCAAAACACTGCAAATCTCTTTAAAACCCTGCAAGGCTCCCCAAAACCCTGCAAGCATCTCCAAAACACTGCAAACCTCCCCAAAACTTTTCCAAACCTCCCCAAAACACTGTAAAGCCCCCCAAAACCCTGCAACACCTCCCAAAACCCTGCAACACATCCCCAAAAACCCTGCAAACCTTCCCAAAACACTGCAAAACCCCAAAAACCCTACAAAGCCCCCCCAAACCCTGCAAAACCCTCCAAAAACCCTAAAAAGCCCCCCAAAACCAGCAAGCCCAGCAGCTCACAGCAGGGCTGAGGGCGATGGGGGGCTATAAACAAGATCTGCAAACAGCTTTCGCCAGACCCTTGATTCTTTTTTTTTTTAATTTTTTTAAAAATTTATTTTATGCCAGATTTGGTTCCAGCGTGGGCTGCTTTAATAATTTCCTGGAATAAATAACGAGCATGGAAAGTAAACAAGGTGTCTGCGTGCAAGTGGGAGCTGCTGCAGCCAGCACTGAGTCACCCCAAACCTCAGCCCCAGGGGAATGAGGGGGTCCAGCACAGGCTCTGCAGGATCCCCACATGCCCTGGGGTGTCCTGGGGTTTTTCCCAAAGTTTTTGCATCACCCAGGATGATGGAAAAGGTTCAAAATCCCACAGAGGGTTTTTGGTCCACATAGGAGCGTTCAATCCCACTGGATGGGTGTTTTCATTCCTGCCCTTTGCCTGGAGCTGGAGGAAGTGAGTTTGCCCAAAATTCTCGTTTTTAACACAACCCCAAAATGAAATTGAACATCACAGACACTGGATTTGGGACCTGCCTGGTGGGAAGGAGCAGGGTCCACCCCAGCTGAGCCCCCAGCAGGGCTGGGATGAATCCTTGAATCCTTCCAGAGCCGGTGCTGCCTGCGCAGGCTCTCATAAATATTTACCTTTGAAAGAAGCAGCTCTCAGCCTCGAAA